CTTTACATACAAAAGACGACGGTTTTTATAAAAAAACGTCATCTTTACGTACAATAATGCTTTTTGATTTCCTATGATGCTATACAATGATTTTAACTAGAAAACCAACCATAATGCTTTATTAATGAATATATAATAGTTTCTTTCATAAAACTTGAAGATTCAATAGTTATTACATGGTTAACCAATCTTTAATCTACAACAAACATAATTCCTAACAAGACCTACGTACTCCTAATCCAAGCATTCCTCATCCAAACATACAAATGATGCACAACTGAAGTCTCCTCCATCATCCCTGTAAATAAATCAAAATGACAAAGAGAGAAAAAAAGAAGCTAAGATTATAAACATAAAAAATTAGGTGGAAGAGAAATTTTACCATTGGTCTATATTTCCATAGAAAACTTGTAAAATGAGCATAAAAAAGACCATCAAGAACCTGCAAATTTTCAACAACAAAAAAACATACGACTCACATAGAAAACCTACAAAAGAAAAAGTTATAAATCTGCAAGTTTCCTCCTCATCTCCTGATAACCAAATCAGAAAATCTAAAAAGAAACTAGAAAAAAAAATATAAACAAATCAGACAAATCAAGAGAGACAAAATCTAAAATTAGGGAGACAAAGAACATACCAAAAACGCAAAGAGACTAAGACCTCAACCAGCTTTGATTCTCAAATACAAAATATCCCTCTACATCTTATGGATTTGCTAAGACCTCAATCTCTCAACTCCTTCATTGATATCGATTTTTTGATGATTTTGTAAAGAGTTTCATGAGGGTGTTTTAGAGAGTGCAGGAGGGTTTCAAGGAGGGAGAGATGAGGTTTTCAGAGACGGGGGAAAATCTGAAAATTTGTTGAGCGCGAATTCACTTAAGTAGACTTTTTTTAGCGTGTTTTAAAAGACGACACTTGTTAATGAGAGATAAGATTTTCAAAGACGGGTGAAAATTTGAAAATTTGTCGAGCGCGAATTCACTTAAGCGGCCATTTTTTAGCGTGTTTTAAAAGACGACGTTTTTTTTTAAAAAAAAATTTGTCATCTTTACATATAATAGACGACGGTTTTTTTTATAAAAAGCGTCATCTTTACATATAATAGACGACGGTTTTTATAAAAAGCGTCATCTTTACATACAATAGACGACGGTTTTTTATAAAAAGCGTCATCTTTACGTACAATATACGACGATTTTATAAAAAGCGTCATCTTTACATACAATAGACGATTTTTTACCGCTACACTCCTTGACCCTATATGAATACAATGATTGAATTTGATCTTCAATTTAAAATATTTACACTAGTGGATACCACAAAATCTTATGTTATATTTAACGAAAGTATAAATAAACTCTTAATTGTTAGTGAATATTTTTTTTTATGGCATATGCATTTTAAGAAACTAGTTTCAACGATCCAACCGTCAAAATTGTTTGTTTATACTTTGAGATCATATACGCCAAAAATCGGAAAAAATAAACATTCAGAGATCAAGTAACGGGACAAAAAATTTCGACGGTTATAAATGAAAAATCACGATTTAACGGTTATTTTAACTCCGATTTTGATGATTTTTTACCGCCACACTCCTTGACCCTATATAAATACAATGATTGAATTTGATCTTCAATTTAAAATATTTACACTAGTGGATACCACAAAATCTTATGTTATATTTAACGAAAGTATAAATAAACTCTTAATTGTTAGTGAATATATTGTTTTGATGGCATACGCATTCTAAGAAACTAGTTTCAATGATCCAACCGTCAAACTTGTTTGTTTATACTTCGAGATCATATACGCCAAAAATCGTAAAAAATAAACATTTAGAGATCAAGTAACGAGTCAAAAAAATTCGACGGTTATAAATGAAAAATCATGATTTAACGGTAATTTTAACTCTGATTTTGATGATTTTTTACCGCTACACTCCTTGACCCTATATGAATACAATGATTGAATTTGATCTTCAATTTAAAATATTTACACTAGTGGATACCACAAAATCTTATGTCATATTTAACGAAAGTATAAATAAACTCTTAATTGTTAGTGAATATATTGTTTTGATGGCATATGCATTCTAAGAAACTAGTTTCAATGATCCAACCGTCAAACTTGTTTGTTTATACTTCGAGATCATATACGCCAAAAATTGGAAAAAATAAACATTCAGAGATCAAGTAATGAGACAAAAAAATTCGACGGTTATAAATGAAAAATCATGATTTAACGGTTATTTTAACTCCGATTTTGATGATTTTTTACCACTACACTCCTTGACCCTATATGAATACAATGACTGAATTTGATCTTCAATTTAAAATATTTACACTAGTGGATACCACAAAATCTTATGTTATATTTAACGAAAATATAGATAAACTCTTAATTGTTAGACGACAGTTTTTTTATAAAAAGCGTCATCTTTACGTACAATAGACGACGGTTTTTTTTATAAAAGCGTCATCTTTACATACAATGGACGACGGTTTTATAAAAAGCGTCATCTTTACATACAATAAACGACGGTTTTTTTAAAAGCGTCATCTTTACAGACAATAGACGACGGTTTTTTATAAAAAGCGTCATCTTTACATACAATAGACGACGGTTTTTATAAAAAGCGTCATCTTTACATACAATAGACGACGATTTATAAAAAGAGTCATCTTTACATATAATAGACGACGGTTTTTTATAAAAAGCGTCATATTTACATTCGATAGACGACGGTTTTTATAAAAAGCGTCATCTTTACATATAATAGACGACGGGTTTTATAAAAAGCGTTATCTTTACATACAATAGACGACTTTTTTTATTATTTATAACAAGCGTCATCTTTACATATAGTAGACAATTTTTTTATAAAAAACGTCATCTTTACATACAATAGATGACGGTTTTTATAAAAAGTGTCATCTTTACGTACATTAAAAAGTGTCATCTTTACGTACAATAGATTTTATAAAAAGCGTCATCTTTACATACAATAGACGACGGTTTTATAAAAAGCGTCATCTTTACGTACAATAGACGACGATTTATAAAAAGAGTCATCTTTACATACAATAGACGACGGTTTTTATAAAAAGCGTCATCTTTACATACGATAGACGACGGGTTTTTATAAAAAGCGTCATCTTTACATATAATAGACGACGGTTTTGTATAAAAATCGTCATCTTTACATATAATAGACGACGGTTTTTATCAAAACAACCACGTCTTTACCAAAAAAATGACACTTGATTTTTAAAAGACGACGCTTGTCATACCTGCTGTCGTTGTTTTTTGGTCAGATTTTAACTCTGAAGAAAACCTTTTTAATAAGACGACGCTTTTTTATTTGTTTGCGTCGTTATAAAAAATTATTTAACAGTACCTCCGGTTTTTAGTTGTTTAAGTCACTTATTCACGACGGTTTTTTGTTACCGTCGTCTTTTTAAATACAACGACGGTTTTTTTCTTCTACCGTCGTCTTTTTCTGGTCGTCTTTTTCACTTTTTGTAGTAGTGAGGAGAAAGGGTGCGAGACTTTCTGCCGGAATTTCGGCAGTCTTCCCTATAAATTGAACATTCCCCAAAAATTCCAACTTGCATAAAACACATTTAATATCCCAAACGGTAGCATGCACAATATATTTTCAAGCAATTCACATAAATAGCCTCCGGCTTTCTAATAATTCAAAGCAATACCACCAAGCACTCTATCAAGCCAATTGATACCTTGAAACAAGGCAAGTACTAAATGAAATTTCCTCAGGAACCAATATACAAGGTTTTAACCTCCTAACACAAACGCATCTCGTTCTCACTCAAATAATAGGACCGATGACAAGGTCTGCATCATACTCAATAAAACCACCTAAGTGGAGTCTAGTCTGTCGCTGCACCTAGGCGCTATCCTAGGCTGCCTACGTATCCTTACTAAGATATCAAGCCACACGTAGTTCTTACCTAAATCTTTTTTTTTTAAATCACAACTCACAAAATCTCCCTATATGACGGAACATTCAGAGTCACGTATGGGGCCTGTCCACATGCCGGATAATCCTACGACACGTGGGACCTCATCATCATATCACAATAACTCCCCATATGCCGGTACTACTACTAACGTCGCATATGTTGTCAACACGGTGGTTACTCCTATGACACGTACGACCTCAACAAAATATTAATATTCCCCATATCCCGATACGACAACCAACGTCGTATATGGGGTTTGTCAACACGTCGGCTATTACGACACGTGCGACCTCAACACAATATCACAATATCCCCTATATGCCGGTACTACTACCAACGCCGCATATGGGGTCTGTCAACATGCTGGCTACTACTACAACACGTGCGACCTCAACACAATATCACAATATTCCCCATATGCCAGTACTACTACCAACGCATCATATGGGGTCTGTCAACACGCCAGCTACTACTACAACACGTGCGACCTCAACACAATATCACAATATCCCCCATATGCCGGTACTACTTCCAACGCCGCATATGGGGTCTGTCAACACGCCGGCTACTACTACAACATATGCGACCTCACAAGCACAGGGTGGTACTTACACATTGCAATCAATATCCGAGGAGGTACATAGGGTATTGCGTATAGCACTCCAAACTGACATTCTATACTCTTTTATACATTTGTATACACACATAATTATATACATTAATTTCTAATGTTGTAAACACCTTAACAACCATCTAGCATCCGATAAACCCCCCATTAAAAATCATCATTTAATATTCTAAACTCACAATATCCACATAAATCGACTAATGATCAAGACCTGTCTCTATGGTCATTTTAATCTTCCTAGAAAGGTAACACTACCTAAGAAGTCTCACAGTCAACCCAGGGTCAAACTACCCAACCTTGGTCAAACAGGCCCACGGGGTCCACGACCTCCAAATTCTGATCCGAAAGTCCCTATAGGTTCTACAAGGCCTAGGACACATGCCCTACAAGTTTGGTCCAGATCGGACGGTCGGATCGCTCACGATCGCACAATCGCGCGATCGGACGATTACTATAAACCTAACCCTAGGGTTGGCATTTCCGGAGTATCCGGGACTCCATTTCATGATCCGTCGAATCCTACACGATTCTAGGGATGTCTAGATTAACATATTATAAACTCAGGACCATCCAACGGTATCCAAATTGAAATCCGAACACACCTACTTGGGACAGAAATGCCCCTTAGCTACAGTGCCCACGTGCCGCCAGCATGGGTGTCCAAAGCGATTACCCATCACCGGAAAATCTCCAAATCTCGACTCAAGACTCCTACCCTAGGTAAAACACCCTATTTGGAACCACTTTTGTTCTTGGACCTACCGCAAAAATTAACCGGAAGTGGCCGGAATCTCCCCTCGAAATCCGGCCGAAATCCAATTTGTAGATCAGATAATCTAGGCATAAAATTAATGAAATCTTACCCATTCATCAGCTAGATCATGAGGAAATGATAGATTTCCATACCTGGATTGCCAAAAATGGCGGCTGGACGACGGAGAATGAAGCCGGCGAAAATCGAGCGAAAACCGGCCTGAAAATCATCTTTTTTCGGCGGCTGGGGCGGCGGCAAATGTCGGGGAAGGGCCGGGTCGTAACGCCCGGGGCTGAGCCGGTCCTTTTGGCACCGATCCCGTCTGCATCCGTGGCCGATGGCCGGAGTTGCGAGGAAGGAGGGCGACGGCTGTCGGGAGGAGAGAGAGCACGCGGGGGAGAGAGAGAGAAAAAGGAGGGCATTTCTGACTTTTTATAAAAAAATCCCTTTTCCAAATAATTACGATTATGCCACTGAGTTTCATTCGATCATAACTCTCTCGTTCCAACTCCGATTTGAGCCCACTACGTGTCTACGGACTCATCTTAGTATGGCCTACGTAATGGTACAGCCGGAATTCCCAAATTCCTTCCGAATAATAAATGACCAAAATACCCCTATCCCAAGGGTAATTTCTTAATTTCACTCAAATTAATTAAAACAGGAAATAAATTTGGAGTCGGGGTGTTACAGCTGAGGATGTTGGGATTATTAGAGGCAGTTGTTGTTCTATTCATGTTCGTTGTCTTCGTGAGCTTAGGACTTTTTAGAGTATGATGAGAGGCAAACGGTTCATTTGTTTGAACTAATTCTTACCTTTAATTTACAAGTATTTCTTTTGTTTTTTTTTGGTTTATAGACAAGTATGGATCATATGTGGGGTTGAAAAATTTGTGATTTATGGAAGTGTTGGATGTATATTTCATGTATGGATATATTTAAATTTATATATGTTTTTTGATGTGCAATGGAAAACACTAGATGATATTATTCATAACAACCTCAATTTTACAAAAATAACAGAAGTTAAAAATTTAAAATAACAATATTACTCATAAAACAATTGATGCCTATAACTAAAAGTAGCATCATCACTATTGTATTATGTGATGTTGTAAGTCGGAAAAAGCATCAGTGTAGTATAAAATTATGTTGTTGTAAACCGTATTTAGCATCGGAACTATTAAAACTACCGATGCCATTGCATGTTTAGGCATCGGGGGTCAACAATTTTTTGGCACATGGGAGGCACTTTAGCATCAGTGTTTAGGACAAAACTGATGCAGTAGATATATAAGGCAACGAATAATATCTGAAGCGTATGACTATACAATAGGCATCGGTTCGCAATACATCGGTAGGAAGGGACCTTTCGCAACGGATATTATCCGTTGCTAAAGGTCAAATTTCACATAGTGTTAGCATCTATAAAAATAGTAGTCCTCTTGCAGTCATTATATGGATTTTCGTTTAGTCTTTGCATATATACACTTCTATACATAGTCTTAGTACAGTCACTCATCATAGTCTTTGAGTATGTGCTTTTATTTTGAGCATGATATGCATGATTATTTTTTTATTTGTGTGATTAAAAGCAATTAGGCCTCATTTTTCCTACATAAATAGTACATAATTTGCGCAAGTGATTAATTAAGTTTGCATATGAATATTAATATGTAGTGAAAATATAATTGAATTGAGTTTTACGTACCTATATTGGAAAGGAGCAAGGAGACATTGACAACCCAGAACAGGGTCAATTGAGACGTCTTCTTCTTAGCCATATTTTGGTATCACCTATGGCAAGTAGCAATGACAAATCTTATACTTACTCTAAAGAGCACACAAGGGGCTAGTTTCATGCTACATGCTTGAGTTAGGTTATGGATTCGAGTATATAACATGCATGGCAAGCTAGCTAGGGTAAGCTTATTGTATGATTAAATATTTCAAGCCAATTAAATCCTTATCGAATTATGCAATGGAGTTGAAATTTTTGGGACTCTCTCTCTCTCTCTCTCTCTCAAGAAAATTCTACAAACCATATTTCAAGCTGTTAAATTAAATATTTCAAGCCAAGCGAATTAACCACGACAAATTTTTGGGTGCTTTTTGCTAATTTATTACAAAATATATTGGTATCTCACTAAAGTGGACTTGAAATAAAGTACTATATTGAATTATTATTATTTTTGGGTACTTTATCAACATTAGAGCACCAAGAATTTCTTTCAAATTTCAATAATGCAAATTGATACCATAAATTGCATGGTAGTATCCAAGCCTAATCTTGAGGGGGGCCTGGGTGTGGTAGCGTGTGATAGTATTAAAGAGCACACAAAGGGAAACGGGGCTATGTGTAGTGTAGCCATTTACACACACCGCCTTGATAGTTTCTTATTTATTGAAATTCAGGAATTGGAATTCTCATCAGGAATTGAATTCCGCCTATGGAGAATTCATTCGTTTACTTCACATCAAGGAATTGAAAAGTAAGCGGGGGCCTACACAAAAGTAGGAATTGAATTCCTGATTTTGGAGGAATTCAATTCCGGAATGGGAAATGGTATTCTAATTCCTGGATAATTCACCCATTAGGAATTCATCTTTTTTACCCATCATATCCTCACACAATTTTCAAAATTCCAAATATGTCATCTACTTTAACCCAAAAATGAGGACATTTTAGTAATTAATATCACTCCTACCCCAATTCCATATGGTTTAGTAAACAACTTCAATAGGAATTCGGAATCTAACTCCCCTCAATCCATATGATTTAGTAAACAACTTCATTAGGAATCTGGAATTTAATTCTCCTCAATCCAACTCCTCCTCAATTCAATTCCTCCTAATCCAATTACTGATTAGTAAACATGCCATTAGAGTTGACCAAAATTTCCACATCATGTGGAACTCGAAAATTTTAAATTTGATTTGTTTATGTAGTATTCTAGTTTTAATATGAACTTCAATTCAAAACAAAAGGGTGTGAGACAGAGATGTCATTGTCTATAAGGGAGCGGCTATAGATCAAACGTATGCTTATATATATAGGCTTAAATGCTAAAATAGTTCCTGTGTTCTATCAGGCTATTTCCAACCCAAGGGGTGGAAACCCAAATTATAAGTTTTGAGTCCAAAAAACTTCTCCAACCCATGTATTTTGGGGGGAGGGGGGGTAGGGGTGGAAATTTAAGAAATCTCAAATTTGGACTGGAATTCCACCCAAACTATTGCCTGGACTGATAATGTTTGTGGGCTCAAAATTTGCTTTTTCTTCTTTGTTTTTTGCCTTGGAAGCCCACGTGAATAACAAAAAATGCTGGCCCCACGTGAGTCTTGCAACAAGCTGGCCATTTGATTGAATCCTAACGGCTACTTTTTCAAAATTATGCTGTGCTCTTTTTTGTTTTGTGTCAACCAAACATCATTTTTTTTTCCCTTTGTTTTCCTTTTTCTCTTTGTTATATATATTTTTTAATTCTACTTTCATTCTAATATTTTTTCATTCTATTTTATACTTTACTCATTCTTAGCACATTAATTTGTGTAAATTAACAATACAACAACAACCACTTTTATAATTTAAACACACTTTCATAATTTAAGCACACAACATAATTTAAACACACTTATATAATTTAAACACACTTACATAATTTAAACACATATGGTGTTGTACTTGTTTTTATTTTTAAGTGAAATTCTATTATGTTTTGGAATTTTATTTTATTTTAAGGTTAAAATGTTTAGAAAATTAAATCACGAATGTTGAAACAAAAATAATTTCAAGAAAAATAACGAGAAAAAAATTTAGGGGTTAATCATTCTTAAACAATTTAATAAAGTTGCAGACTCAAATTATGAGTCTGCAAGGTTGGAGGGAAAAAAAATTTGAATCATGAAAATACATGAATAGTTGTATTTTGGAGGGTGGAAATATGAGTTTAGCCCCAACATGGTTGGAGATGGTCTCACGTTGGCCAATTTAATTCATGTGTCTTCAATTTGGATAATTTGATCCCGTGTTTAGGTCCGTTAGCCAATGTGATCCAATCTGTTAAATTTATGTTAAAAATGTTAAAACTATTTAAATATAATAAAAAATAGATATATTTGAATTAAATTTAAAAATAGATATATTTGAATTCAATTTAAAAATAGATATATTTGAATTCAGTTTAAAAATAGATAATTAAATAGGATCTAAAATGTTGTTATGGCCCTTAAAACTAAAAGAAATTATAAAAATACCACCATCCCATCTAGCCACCCTCACCGCCCTTCTCTCTTCTCTCTCCTCTCTTTCTCCCAACTACTTTCTGCAGCCAGACCCAAAGGCCCCAACTCCCCTTGCCACATCCACCTCCTGAACACGAATCCTCCCAACCCCTGAGCTCTCTCTCTCTCTCTCTCTCTCTCTCTCTCTCTCTCTCTCTCTCTCTCAAACAACCCCTATTGCCCGACCATGTCCTAACAAGATCTTCCCCAACTCCACCATACCTGGCCATTTGTCCCATCCCCAACCATGCCACCTAAATCCTCTAGCCCACTCTGGTCGTCGCCCCGCTAAGCAGCCTCTCCCCCTCCCTGATTATATCCATCCTGTTTTTCTTTTCTTCCTAATGTTATGTTTTGGTTTTAATGAAGTTTCAAATTTTTTAATTAATTCAAATTTTAAAATTAATTTCAAATAAGTTTATAGGTTTTCAACAAAAATAAAAAAATATCATTTATATTTATGGTAAATTACTCAAATGGTCCTCAAATTTGTACTCGATTTACATTTTGGTCCATAAACTAAATTATTCGTTTGAATGGTCCACCAACTCTTTATTAATCGGCACTTTGGTCCTACTGTTACATTTTCTGTTAAATTTAGTCATGTGAGCAGCACATGCTACATTTGTGGGGGTAAATAAGACTTTTGATAACTAAAAATAAAATATATGATTAAAAATTAAATAATACAAAATTTTCTTTATTTTTAAAATTAATTAAAAACTATAAAGGAATAAAAAAAACAAAAAGTAACAAAAAAAAATAACCCACCCCCGATCCTTCCCTCTCCTCCTTCTTCTTGCAACTCCCTCTGCGATTCAAACCTCCATCATGTAACTATGAGATATTGCAGCCATCGAAGCTAAGGTGATGCCCTCTCTCTCTCTCTCTCTCTCTCTCTCTCTCTCTCTCTCTCTCCTCTCTCTCTCTCTCTCTCTCTCTCTCTCTCCATCCATGGTTATATTAACAAATCTGCAAATAAATTCGCACAATATTGCAATTAAACCTGCAAACTAAACCAAGAACCACCACCTCCAACCCCACGAACCCACAACCCAAAACCCTAGCCCCCATGAACCCAGACCCACAAAACCCATCCCTTCCCTACACTTTTCTTCTATCTCGCCCCCTTCTATTTTCTTCTTCATTCAATTCAAACTCTTTCTCACTCTGCCTCTCCGGGTTGGGGAAGAGAAGATGGGGCGCTGGGGCAATGTGGTTAACGGGTTGGGGGTTGGGGGCTGAGAGTTGGGAAATAGTTTTTTTGAATTTTTTTTATTTTAAGATTTTTAAGATTTTAATTTATCTACTATTTTATTTAACTAGACCATTTTATCCGTATATTTGATGGCAATATTGACAGAATATAACGGTAGGACCAAAGCACCAATTAATAAAGAGTTGGTGGACCATTTTAACGGAATGAACCACATTGGTTAACAGTCTTAAACATGGGGACTAAATTGGCCAAATTAAAAACACAAGGATTAAATTGGTCAACGTGATAAAACACAAGGACTATTTTAGCATTCAAGCCTTACATATACCTAGGGATGGCAATGGGCCGGTTAGGGGCCGGGTATGGCAATACCATCCCCATCCCCGCACCCCACCCCCGTCCCCGTCCCTGCCCCAATCCCCGGTTTAGGCTTTTCGGGGAATCCCCGTCCCCGTCCCCGTCGGGGAAGTGCCTCCCATACCCGCCCCAATCCCCGGTTTTTAATAAGATATTTCTTGTTAAAATAATTACTCAACAAAGCAAAGAATGACACAAAACTTGAAATAATTTCTCAATCCAAATCTTTAGAAACTTTTTCAGTAAGCACAATAAATCCATCTAGTCTTAAATTAGAAAACCAATCCTAAAGAAATATTAACATATTCTGTCATCAAGTAAAACTTCACAATTTCAATGAACTCTCCTATGCTTCATCATTCATAGCTTTAATCAAAAAACAAAGAGATGTTCTCGGTTTCAATGGTAGACTCTTACAAAAAAAACAATTAGAGCTTGAAGCTAACAATATAAATATATATATTAGAAAACAATAATAAAATGTTTTACTTAATATGAAAAATATAACCACAAAAATATTTCAATACCTCTTATCTCACTCCATAGCCAATCGCGAGCGCACATCAATGCCTCTACTGTTTTTGAATGAAGCCGGCTACGATGAGGGCTTATAATCCTTCCACTAGTACTAAAGCAAGACTCTGAAGCAACTGTGGATACAGGAATGGCCAAAATATCTCTAGCAATATCATGCAAAGTAGGATATTTGATCCCATTTGATTTCCACCAACATAATATATCAAAATCATCATCATCATTCCTAGGTAAAAGAGACTCTTCTAGATAATGATCCAACTCAGATTTAACATGTCCATGGGTAGTCGAGTGAGAAACAAACACATCCAATTGATTTACCAAATCAAGTTTAGGCATAGATGGTCTAGATGAAGAAGCAGGAATCAAAGATTCAGATTGCACCTGTTGACTTTGTTGAGATCTTGACTGATACTCCTTGACCAAGTCATAGATAATATCTTTATATTTCTTAATCTCTTGAGCTGCATTTTTTGGACATATTAGAGGGCATAAAATTCAATTTGTTTTATCTTATACCTTGGATCCAAAACACTTGCATCTCCCATCAAACCATGCATTGTATCCCAGTACTTCTCAAACTTTGTTTGCATATGTAATGCCATTGCTTGCACCTCTTCTTGTTCAGAACTAAGCCAATGATAAATTGCTAATCTAATAGCACAAATATTCTTAAAGTAAAGATTGGCAATAGGATACTTGGTCCCTGAAAAAGAACAGTCACATCATAAAACATGGCCAACTTATCAACAAGCTCCTTTGTCTTTGCCCAATCACTTTCACTAGGCACTTCTTTGTACAACGGCTCATGGTGCTTCAAATGAGAAAAAACATCTTTGTATATCATTGCAGTCTTAAGCATGGAATATGTAGAGTTCCATCTAGTTTTACAATCAAGTTCTAACATTTTAGAGGTTGGAACTCTCAACTGCCTGGCCGCTTCAAGAAATTTCTCTTCTCTTTTTTGGATTCCTAGCCAAAATGCAACACTGTACCTAATTTTCTCAATACTCTTTTTAATCACCTCTAAGCCATCTCTCACTACCAAATTCAAAATACGAGCACAACACCGCATGTGGAATAAACATCCATCTAACATAAGTGAACTCGAGCAAATCTTATCTAACACTATCGCAATCATCGAATCATTTGTAGAACAATTATCTACAGTTAAGGTAGACAACTTACGGTCAAGATTCCATTCGAACATGCATTCCAATAAAGCATCAGCAAGTACCTCCACTGTGTGTAGACATGGAGCATATATAAACCTATAATAAAACCCAAATAAGTCACAATCTAATTATTTTAAAAAAACAAATAGGATTAATAATTCAAATAAGAAAAGTATAATACATTTACCTTATTAGTTGGCTTTGTAAATTCCATGCATCATCAATGAAATGTGATGTGATAGTCATGAATCCTCTCTTTTGATTATTCGATGTCCACATATCCGTTGTAATGGCAATTCTACTTCTGTTGGTGTCCAACAACTTCATTGTTTTCTCCCTCTCAACTTCAAAAACCTTAAATATGTCCATCTTGATTGTGTTTCGAGAACACACCTTAAATAATGGTTGCAAAGCATTGGAATACATCTTGAATCCAATATGATCAACCATAGATCATGGATACTCATGAAGAATAATCATATTTGCAAGTGCCTTCCTAGCATGGTCGTGGTCAAAATTATAAGTGCCAAGTTTGACAGTCCCATCACTCAACTTTGTAGGAGTCAACATTGATTGATCTATGGTTCTTTGTCTTTTATAAAGACAAGACTTTACATGATCAAGTAAATGTCTAGTCCCATTCTTGCTACTTGCGCCTAAAATATTCTTACAATGAATGCACACAGCTTTTATTTGACCTCGAATTTCTTTCTTTTCAAAATGTTCCCAAGCAGGGGATCTACCTTTCCTTTTATTCACAGCAGCTTGAGTTGAAATTGTGGCTTCCGTGTTGTTATTTTTAGTTACTGCAAGATTGCTATCATTTTAATTTGGTGTAGGGTTGTTATCCTCCTCAATTTGGGTTTCAGGAACTTGAGTCTCTTCATTGTCGTCACCCATCTAGGAAAAAAAAATTATGAAGACTGATACATCAATTGGAAGGTACAATATTAAACAACAAGAAAAGAATTAGTCATGACAAAAAAAAATACTCCCAGCAAGGTTGCCTCTTGGCATGGTATTGAAGGACACTCCATACAATGGTTTTGCATGGTTTCCATAGATCGAAAAGGTACATATTTTATTGAACTAATTATTGTTAGATTTCTTTTTGTTATGTCATATTGAAAAAGAAATATATATGAACATGTTGGTGCTTTTTATTCTCTCAAAAGGAAAATAATAAAGGATGCATATAAAAAAAGGTACAGCTTTTATCATAACAAAGCATGCATATCAGACAAAGAACAACTTTTATCAAATCAAAACATGCATATGTCGTGCAGTCGAAACAACAAAGTAAAACAATATAAAATTATCAAATCAAAACAGCTTTTGTGGTGTTAATTGCTTTAGAGACAACAAAGTAAACAATATAAAATTGTCAAAGAGAGAGAACCTTGCCGACAGCAAACTTGATGTGTAGAAACTTGAATTGCAGTCACTTGCTCAAAGAATTTGAGAAGATAACAGCCCGTGTAGGAGGAAGGAATAAGGAGCGACAGACAGACAGTGACTCTCTAGGGTAATTTTGTTTATTATATTATATTGATATATATATTAATTATAAATAAATATATTACTTACTGGGCCGGGTTCGGGGATGAGGATGACAATCCCATCCCCGGCCCACCCCCGGTCGGGGATTTTGCAAATTCGGGGATCCCTGTACCCGGCCCCGATTTCCTCCCGAAAACTCCCCCCGTTAGGGTCGGGTCCCCGGCCCGACGGGTATTATTGCCATCCCTGCATATACCTTGAAGCTCTTTAAACATGCCAAAGTTCAAAATCTCCTGCATGAAAAGAAAATGTGATAACAAAAGAAGGAGATAAAAAAATTAAGGAAACCAGTCATCATCACGGTTGAAAACCTTTCAACATGTTTAAGAGCACTTCCAGCGCTACACCCTAATCTGGGTAGGAGGCCCCCTAGGCCCGTAAAGCAAGCTCCAACACACAACTACCAGCCTGGGCAAATATGGGCTCCACGTGCCTGGGCATGCCCAAAGGCAAAAACAGCCTGAGTTGTTGCATGAGGGCGATGACGTCATCAAAGTAAAAAAAAATTTTAAAAATAAAAAAATTTCTGAAAAATTCTAAAAAATTCAGAAACATGTTTTTATACATACCTAGCATACATATAAATAAAATTAATCCCATGTGAATAGTGGTTGCCTTTGGGTTGCCATGAAAATGGGTGGAAACACAACTTGCCTTTTGCAAGGGCTGCCACTATTCACGTGAATAATGCCTGCCCTTATTTGCCCTTACATTTTGCCATGGCACCATGGGTGGAAATGCTCTGGTGACTTCTTTTACTATATATGCAAAAGACTACTTTATTCTCTAATTATAGAAAAATTTCCAAAAGACCATCGCAGACATATTCTTGAAAATTTTTGTATATCAGAAAGTCTACATGGAAATTTTTTATTTTTTATTTCTTTTTAATACATACAACGCCACAAATAGAGGGAGAGTGAGAGAGAGAGAGTCTACATGGAATTACCAAAAGACCATCACATGTTGCTTTCATCTTTTCCTTTTTAATTTTTATAATATTATTCTAGCCTCGACGACATTATGATTTCTACTTCAACGATCCAAACTATTGGGTTAGATGCTACAACTATTTTTTATTTTTGGCTTCCTTGAACAATATTGTATTTCCTAATGTAAATCATTAAGCTCAAATTTAATTAGTCTAGGTTAGACTAGGGTGAAGAGAACTACTATGACTCAGACAAATTGCAGCTTATGGAAAATCGGCTCAAAGTTAAATTATACATTTCATGCAATAGAATGCATTACGATATGACTAGTCAACTCACATGACTAGTCATCTATTGAGGTACACATGTATTATCATGTCATTTAAAATAATCACGCGAGTCTCACACTTGCCCAGTTGTAGGTTTTCTGTCCTAACGAATTTTGTCTTATTATTGCCCCAATCATCAGCAGCCAACTGTATTTATTTCTAACGTAGCTTTTTGGGTAAAAAGGAGCTTTGACATTGAGTATAGCTGTCACTTTTGCATAGAGAGAAAAGTGAGAGCTTCTTCTTCTATGCATTTTCTTTCATTGTGTGAGGTCTGTAATTTGCTAAAATGTTATGTTCAAAATCTGCTTTGGTCTTTTGAGATCTACACCTAGAGTATTCTAGGTTACATCATATCATTCTAGCAAGATCAGATTCCTTGTTGATTTTTTCAAGAGGATGTTTTCTTGAAGAAATTGACTGTTTCATTTTAGAATCTATGGATCATTCATTTGTTACTATCCGGAGCTGAGTTGCAGTGCCATGGGGTGAAGAAGCTGATGGACAACTAAGTTTGGAGAAGAAGGTTTCATAGGGAGGTAGTGCTCATTTCCTAAATAAACATAGGATTGTTTGAGCTTGTGATTAATTTTTCTATAAGAATCTTCTTGACTTAGTAGATTTCCTGGTCGGATTGATGACCCTCAATTTTCCCCAATGGTGGTTCTGGGTGAACATTTCTTGTGTGTTGTCATGGTTTTTATGATTAGTCATACTATATATGTTATCTTTGAAATGCTTATGAATGTTCACACACGCTTCACCCTAGTTGTTGCTAGCATGGAGAATGCCTAGATTGATGGGTCCTTATGAGTGCTTAAGTTGTCACTTAATATCTTCTAGGTTTGTAGGGGTTTGAGAATTGATTGTTGAATAATAGATGCGTCTTCTGCTATGTGTTCTTAGATCTATAAGTAGTTGTTGACTAGTCATATATTTTTTGGGATTATTGCTTTGTTGGTCTAATTTGTGGTATGCTAGATTAGCATTTAATTTAAGATCCGTCGAAATGTCTATCTATTTTATTTAGTTATTTAGTTAAACCAGTGAGTCATTATTATAGCAGACAACAACAACCATTTCATCCGACATGCGTATTTTTTATTTTGCAATGGATTTACATCTTTCATTAATGGAAATTTTTTGATGTGTGAGTAATAGCTCTAGTTGGTCGCTGTTTAAGAATTCTTGTTTATGCAGTTCATATTACTCCTTCCACTTAAGTGCCAATTTCACAAACTATCAATGTTTTAAGTCTTCATTCAAAGATCATAAAATTTTGAAAATTTGAAAACCATTAAGACATCTAGTTGTGATCAACAAAATCAATGAACATGGTATTTCAAGAATACATTTAAATGACTGATTAAATGGTTTTGTTTTTTTTTTTTTTTTTTTTTTTTTTTGGTAGAGAAAATTTATTATGTACAGTTCGAACAATTAAAATACAATATGGAAAGAGCCCTACGAGGATGTTCCTCAAATAAAGTTAAGTGAGGAATAAACTCTCAGTATATATAGCACACTCACATTCACCACACACACAAAGCACGCACACACTCGCTCACTTAAACATATACAGTGAACTTGAGTTGAGATATCCCCCAAATTACACTCTTTCAGAGACTCTGTGTAGTGTCCAAATGTTATTTATAGTTTGATGATACAAACGATCGATTTTTTAAGTGAGAAATTTCAATTATTTGCACCAGATAATTGTGATTAGGTCAAATGTATCATTAGTGATATGTAAATGAGGTCGGGCTTGTCCAATATAGATCCCTATATTTTTTGAAAAATTCTATATGAACCCCATAAATTACTCTTTACACCCCACTAAATTTTAATAAAATTTCAAATTACTCATTAAACCCTTTTTTTTTCCCCTAAATTGCCCTCATAAACCCCATTCCCTAACCACCCACCGAAAACCCCCTTCCCTTTTAGCAACACCCTATCTGAAATCAAACCCTACCACATCTGATATCCAGCCCCACCCCATCAAAAATTCTCTTCTCTTGCAGACACACCCCATCACATTTACAACAACCTCCATCGCAGAACCATCGAAGAACTCATCCCTTTGCCATCGCAGATCTTTGCTCACCATCGAACCCCATTGCACAACCCAGCAAACCCGAACCATCTCTGAAACAGAACCATCACACCCAAGTCCATCTCTGCAAGCCCGAAAGCCATTGAAGGTCAAGTTTTCACAAATCCTTATTCAAGGTTTGATTTCAAATTTGATTTATATATTTACGTTTCTAAGTGTTGATTAAGCCTACGTTTGATTTCACTTTTGAAAAGCCAAAGTCTGATATTGGTTTTGATTTCGATTTCAACGTTGTGGGTAGTTCGAACCTAGTTTTGCGAAAATGGATTCTAGTTTCGGTGGATTGCCACCGAAATGATTACATTGCTTCAATGGTGGTCCACCGAATTGAACCTGTACTTTCGGTAGGTTACCACCGAAATTGTTACCTTGTTTCGGTGGTAGTCCACCGAATCAGTTTCTATTTTTCACGGGACTCCCACTGAATTTATTTCAGTTTTTCAATGGTACTCCACCAAATATGTATTATTTTTTCAGTGATTGTCCACCAAATTTATTTCCATTTTTCAGTGATTATGTACCGAATACGTTACTGAGTGTGTACTTAATATTGTTTATTTTTAGATATGAAGAGGATTCGCAGAGGTACTACTGAAGCTTCATCATCCCGACCTAATAGACAGTGTCCCACGACCTCAAAGAGGAGACAGAGAGCAGCTCCTCAAGATCACATTGAGGATACTACAGAGGTTGAAGATGTAGTTCCTGCTCATGATAGTAATGTTGACGCATAGGTTGAAGATGTAGCTGCTACTCAGGGTAGTAATGTTGAGGTACATGCCGAGCCTACTGAGCCATCTCGAGTAGGTCCCATTGATCCATCTTTACTTATGAGTTTTAAGACTCACATAGCAGCTGCAATTTGGAATAACCAGGTAAGTCGTTTTACTGTGACAATAGAAGGTAGAATATAAGTCTGGTTCATGGTAATTAACCTTAATTTTGTTTTTTTGTTTAACTAGGAACGTGAGCCCCTTAGGTGCATGTCGAAAACATCTACCCTTTGTGAGTGGAATTGGTGGGGTAATCCAAATAATGGTATATTCAAAGGGTACATTCAGAGGTCTGGATTAGAGCACCTTATTAGGTGTTCTTATCGGAATGCTGATAAGATTGTGGTATCTACATTTGTTGAGAGGTGGCATCCCGAAACGAACACCTTTCACATGCCTTTTGGTGAGATGACCATCACATTGGATGATGTGTCATCTATTTTAGGCATTCCTGTGTCAGAGGAGTACATCATGTATTTTGCCAGAGCATATTTGCTATATCTCTTGGGTTGCACTTTGTTTGTTGACAAGACTGGCACGAGAGTCCAAATTGTGTACCTTAGACTACTTAGAAACCTTGATAGTGTTGCTGGTTATTCATGGGGTTCTGGGTGCTTAGCATGGTTGTATAGACAATTAGGCCAAGCTTCGAGGTCTAAGGTGAAGCAGATTGCTGGGTACATGACTTTGCTGGAGGCATGGGTGTATGAGCACATGCATGGTGTTGTTGTCCCTGATCATGACCTTGATTATTTAGAGGTCTAGCCTCATGCATTTCATTGGATTCCACGTCGAGACAATGGCACAACATCGATAGACGTGCAGAAGTATAGACAGCGGCTTAACGTTTTGAATGTTGATCAGGTCTGTTTCTCTTACATATCATCCAACTTTGTCATGTTTTGTATTTTATATATATTTTTTGGTTTAGGAATGTATATTCCAGTGGTTCATGCTATATTATGTATCATATTTCAGGTTATATGGGAACCTTACAAGTTTGAAAGGGAACAGCACCCATTTCCAGATGTTGCATTCTACTCATGGATGCTAAGATGTTGTGATGTTATTGAGCCCTACCATCCTGAGCGGGTTCTTAGGCAGTTTGGTCGAGTGCAGACAATTCCTCCCATAATAAGTGCTCCAACCAGAACAGGTAGTCGTGCCAATTCCTATAATTCTTACTTTGGGGAAATGTGGGACAATCGGGAGAACCACATGTTGGGAGGGGCGAACCGTAGTGTACCAGTGAGGAGACCATCAGATACTGTGCCTGGGTACTTGGAGTGGTACCTCAACGTGGGATATCCGTTTGTCCAGAATCCTAATTATGGAGCTACATTTGACCTATTTGCCTCAATGCAAAGTCGATATTATCAGGTAAAATTTTTAATTTTGTTTGACTTCCATTTTTTCAATTTTGCACTTTTTACTGATGCATTGGATTCAAATTTGTTACAGGAGCGTGACGAGCGTATGTTGTCCTTTACTAGGCCGCTCGTGGCATTAGGGGAAAGAGTTGCATTGCGTACACGACCTTCCCAAGTTTATCAAGCAGTTGAGACCTTGCAACAGATTTTAGAGGGTAGAAACATACGGTCTACCATGACATATCAACGTCGTCATGGTTAACTGACTTGCTAGCATGCGTTTATTAGAACTCATGGAATTTTGTTGTTTTGATTAGTTATTGCATGTTTGTATTAGAACTCATGCAGATGAGGCTTTGCTTTGGTTTATTTTTAGGTAGAGCAATGGAGGCCTCAACAATCTCAAATGCAGATGGCAAACGACGAGTAGAAGTGTCAACTTTTCGTGGTCTCCCTTTGGTCTTCAACTTCTCTTTTGGTTCAGTAAGCGCAGTTAGCTCCTCCAGTGTCATGTGGACTTGTATCTTCTTCTCATCATTCCTGGTGAAGTTGTGCCATGACTACTGTTTCCTATATTGATGAGATCTAATTTCCTCCAATGTGAATGCACGACATCAAGTGGTATTGGTACACCACGCTTTCTATACTCCGTAATTTCATGTGCACATGGTAATTGGTGGGTTCGACGAATAGCACAATCACATGATAAAGCATCCACCCCATCTGTCTCTAATGATTGCAAAAAAATTACAGTGTTAACTCTATAAACCATATATGTACATGCAATAAGTAAACTGAATTTACCTTTCTGACTCGCACACAATTACACTCAAAGCCTTTATAGAAACAAAACCTACTAACTCTCTCAACTCTGGATGCCTGAACCTGTGTTGAATAAAACATCGACTCTTTTCAAAAGATGCCTTAATCTCTGTGTGCTCCAGCTCTAACAATGAGTGTATAGTTACCCATGATCTCTCAAAGTTAAGTTGGCTTGAGCGGGGTTGTCGCTTCAACTTTGCATGTGCACTTTCTGCTCTGTTGATAACAATAATAAATTTTCCTGAAGCAAAATAAATTTTCAAATTAACATATCAAAAGTTGACTAAAATACTTACCTATTTGAGGTCATCGATCCAAGATGCATACAAGTGTCTGTCCATGCGGCCACAAACCTATCCTTAAATGGATTTAACCAATTTTCATGTATGTATTCAAGAGGTTTTTGAAATTCATTGAACTTAGACTCAATCTGTCGCAAACAATGCCAATATTCCTCCTCCGTTTCTGAACCAACCAAAGTATTCCAATCCTCATTAAATTGCTTCCATTGTTTAAGGGTCCCAAATAACTTCTTGCAGTTTGCCAACACTCATTTGTTAATATTCCATCTACATAATAAATGTCGTGCTTTCGGAAATATAGACGTAATAGAATTCATGAGTGCTAACTCTCGATCGGTGACAATAACACCAGGAAGACAATTATCATCCAACAAACTCCTCAATGTAGTGAATGCCCATGTGTAATTGTCTTCCTTCTCGGCATTCATATACACATACGCAACAGAGAATGTCATATTAGTAGATGTCACCCCCAAAATTTGCAATAGTGGGAAACGATACCTATTAGTCTTATAGGTGCAATCCATGATAAATACACGTGGAAATGCGCACAAAATATCAATATTAATGGGGTGGGTCCAAAACAGGTCAGTTACAATATCACCAGATGTCCTATGCCACTCAATATAATTGTGTTCAGATAACTTAGTAAGCAATTGTTGCATTTGGGTTCTCCTAGTAAATTCTTTGGTTCTATTTCAGATCCTAGCATTGTATATTGTCTTCATAGTTCAAACATTCATTACATCTCTATCTTTAATGGTGACCAAAATATCTCTGGGTTTCACCAAACTCTTAAACATGTCTACCAACAAGGCATTCTCCTCTTCAGTAAGTCGGCCCACAAATGAATGACCTTGAAGATACTCTGAAATAGGATGGTTGTGTACTCCACAAACCACCTCCAACTTCCAATCATCCCCATCACCAATATTGACACCTTTTAACAAGAATGAGCATCCACATTTCTTGGTACCAGTGTCCCTAGCACATTTTTTCATATCACTATTTGCATCCGACCTTATATCAGTTGTCTCACTAGACTTGCAAGACTTATAGTTACCGTTCCTCTCACAAGCAAGTATTACACGAGGTCTCCTCTTGCCCTCACCTCCATAATCAAACCTTTTAATTACAATGACAATATTATTCAATTTTCCTTGTTCACGAGCCCATCGAAGTAATGCATCTCTACCATTGAATATCTACACATAAAACTCATATTATTTAAATATAAAATTTGAAACATTAATGCCACGTTAATGATACTAAAAAGGATTTCAGACAAATAATTACCGAATAAGTTGTGAATTGATCACTATAGTCAATTACACATTCTGTTCCCATATTGTTGCCTTCAGTAGGGGCGTCACCTTGATTTTGTTCCTTCAATGGGAGTAAGATCAAAATAGCTTGGATTAAATTTTTGGTCGGCAATAAGTTAATGAAAAAATAAATAAATTTCGGTTGGATGCCACTGAAACACAGGTAAAAGTTCGGTAGTAAACCACTAAACTACGTTCCATCTTACTGTGGATCTCCACCGAATATTAAGTTGCTGACCGGTCAAATCCAACCGAAAACGGTGCAACGTTTCGATGGCATCCCACCGAAATTACCTGTCGCGTTCGGTACTGATGTGCTGAACACAACCAGCGACCGTTATGAAATACTAAACTTGCAAAACGCCAAAAAATAAACTCGTACCTCATTCGAAGCGTCTCTAACTTCAATCTCACCCTTCATGAATAAATACAAGATATTTTTCACCAGTATAAACGTATAAATCTAGGGTTTAGGGTTTAGGAACATGATAGTTTGAGAAAAAAGTCAAACTAGGGTTGCTGGAACATATGTGGGGTGTAGTGATCAATTTTAATTTTAATTTTAAATTTTTTTGTCCTTAACGGTAATTGTGTACAAGGGTAAAATAGGTTATTCATATTTAAAATTAGTATGGGGTGTAAAGAGCAAATAATGGGGTGCCAATAAAATCACCCATATTTTTTTATTTCTTAGACATATACCCATCACTCTATAAATCTATGTGTAAAACCCAATTTCAATTTAAATTACCAGTAGGATATAAGAGGTCATAGTATTCCTATGTTTTTACATCGTTGCCACCAGACTTCATATTTTTTATAATTTATTTCAAGCATTTCATTAACTTCCATAATTGTAATTAGTACTCCTTATTAATAGCATATCAATCACCCCATTTCTTTTGGTTGTCATTCCCTCTCACATACCCCAAATTAAAAAAAAAAAACCAAAAAAAAAAAAAAAAAAAAAAAAAAAAAAAAAAAAAAAAAAAAAAATAAATACAATATATATACCTAATAAATATAAAATAAAATAAAAAATATATTATTTACCAAACAAATTTTTATTTTATTTTTAAAGTTAGTTACTTTGTAATTGAAATTTCAGTACATTTTTCATAAATTAAAAATAGGCACACAATAATTTATAGAAAATATATAGGTAAATTATTTTACAATATACCTATAAATGTATAGGGACATTATTTGGAGAGGAAAAATAGGTTCATTTAAAAAAATACGTACATTGTTTTACTAGGTACATTATTAGAGAAAAAAAATAGGTACATTATTTCGAGAGAGAAAATAGGTTCATTTTAAAAAAATTGTTTTCCATAAAACAAATAATAGGTACTTTATTCAGAGGAAAAATGGTACATTATTTAGAGAAAAAAAAATAGGTACATGTCACACCCCAAATTTTTTTAAAAAAAAAAAAAAAAATTGGGAATGTGAGGTAAAAGAAAAACTAAACTAAAAATTTAAATATCAAGAAACATGAAAATTGAACATAAACTTCTATTTAAGTCAAAATGATTTACATTGTACTATTACAAGCAAAATAACAAGAAAGTAACAAACTTTCAATAAAACACTCAAAATTATCCATAACCCGTTCTTCTTGTTTCCTCAACAAAAACTAAACTTCAGATTCAAAGCCTGCAATAGATTCAATAAGGGGTGAGCATTACATGCTCAATAGGAGTCTTATGTCTTATGTGATTAGTGAGATTTATAATGTACAATTTATGCAATGCATGAATGAACTTCATTTCTACCCAACCCGTTAATCTATATAATAGGGCAAGCAAATTTGCATGTCCCATACCAAGCATTTTACCACTATGATTCCGAATGCCCCATCATATAACACTATGCCAAAATTCACTTTCCACAACACTACATAGGCATCGGCGAAATTAAATACTGATGCTGTTAGTATATTAGGCATCAGTTTTATAAATAATAAGACTAAAAGTATATAAAGGCATCAGCACAAATTTTTGATTTTTCTTACCGATGCCATTGATTATATTTAGCATCTATGAGAGAAATATACTGATGCGTAAAATGATTGTGAGAAAAATAAATTTAAGCGCCACATTTAGCTCTAACGCCAAAAGCCTAGTTGACTGCTACACTGATTTTTCGCTAAAAAATTTCAGTCCCTCGTGAATATTTCAGATTCCCCCTCTCACCAAAAATTTCCCTCACTTCTCTCTCGTGATACCCAGTCACAGTCACTGAGCTCTCATCCTTCTCACCTTCAAACTCCCTCTCTTCTCTCTCGCGATACCCAATCATAGTCTCTGAGCTCTCATCCTTCTCACCTTCAAACTCCCTCTCTTCTCTCTCGCGATACCCCCAGTCACCCTAAACCCTCTCTCGTTGTACTCACAATCATAGTCACTCTATCATCCCTCTCACCTTCAGCATCTGTCTTCTTCATCGATTTCTTCTCTGTTCTCCATCCATCCCTGCCGTCATCTTCTCTTTCCTCAATCTGTATCGCCATCTCGAAAATTAGAACCAACAAAACCAAAATCAGTGAGAGCAAGCATGCACACACTCAGTTCAACCAACACACTCAGATGGAATCCATCTCTAAGCTGCTCAAAATCACCGAAAGTAGGTGATTTCATCAATCAATCAAATGCCCAAATTTGGATAATTTGTTATAAATATAATTTTTTAGTTTAGGGTTTGATTATTCTTCATTTAGGGTTTAGGGTAGTTGGTGTTTAACGATTTGCGGCGGGAATCTCTAAGACTTATCTGTATAAAGGGAGAATGGCCGTGGCACAGTCAGGGTGGAAATTATCATATTCAACTTCATGGGTTAGAGTAGTTGGAGTTTTGTAGAAGAAGCAATGGCGCAGCTTCTAAGCCTGCTATATTTCAACCATCATGTCCACTTTGCTTCTAAATGCTCTAAACGCTCTATATGCTCAATTGATTGAATTCCAATTTAGGCTGTGGAGGACCGATCCCAACACATGAATCCTTGGCTCGCCTTCGCGCTCTTATAGCTCTAAAAGGTGTGTTCACTCCATTTCAATCTTTTTTTAATTTCCAAATCCTCAATTATCAAATGATTATTTACTCTTGTCTTGAGCTAGTCTGGTCTAGTTAGGAACACTGTGGATCTTGATGCTTATTCTCCTCCTCAAGAGCTTCTTCAAATTCTTCCCCCAAAGTCTACCATTAGAGGATCAGATTGTGGTCCCCAAATTGGACCCAATAATCCTAAGTTCATTTTGGTATGTAATTATCTTAGATTTAAGTCATTTTGCTATGTAACGATCCTAACACTAGTTACTCTCCTTTGCAAGGAATGCAAGCTCTGTTGGATCTCATTTTTGCAGTTGAGGGTTCTGTCTCAGAGGCAGCCAAGTTTCTGGGGTATACAATTACAAATATTCTCTACACTTTTCTTTGTAATTAGGCACGTTAGCAATGTTATCTTCTAACAACTATCTGCAACGCCCATCCTTTTTCAGTTGACTCACAAGTACATATCCATTGCGTTCTTTCTCCCTTCTAGGAACTTAATGAATTCTGTCCATTTAGTTTTACATTTTTGAAGAAAACAGGGTACCTGGTCCTGGTAAAAGAATTAACTTAATGAATGCTCCAAAGTTGACTTGAGCATTTGGTAGAATCTTTACACTTTTGCTAGTTACCAATTTTCTTTATTTGGGGTTACATTTCCGGGAGGCGTAGTCTGTCTTAGAAAAAAAAAACATTTATTTCTAATCCATTTTAGAATATTACGGGAAAAGCTTAAATATGTATCTAAGGTAGAAATTTCTTGGCTTTCATATAATTATTTATTGATGTTCTTCTATGATATATCTACTTACACATATATATCTTGGTATCTTCCTGATTTATTTTTCATTCTTAAATGTATACAGTTTGGTATGAAAATTCCTTGATAACTTTGTTTACACCATAATCAACCGATCATATCCAGCCTCAAAACAACTAACACCAATGCAGACACGCCTTCTCCCCTGCCGAAGGAAGACACTCTTCCGAGGTGCCATGCACCTGCCGAAACTCCCGACTGCCAAAGCTCACAAACTGCTAAACCTAAATTCTATGACACGTGTCACCACTGCGGTGACTTGCACAAAGTCCCACATCGGAAATCTACACCAACCTCCCACTTTCACTTCCCTATAAAAAGGGCACAATACCCTAGTAAAAAGGGTAACTACTTTTCTGCTTCTTACTGTCTCTGAAAAGGTTACCCTTCTTAGCTGACTTAAACATCGGAGAGCCTTCGGTCGGCACCACACCGGTGTCCGAAGCTTAACGACTGCTTTCCCTATTTTTGTCTTCTGCAGGCTAGTCTTTATTGAAGGTCCAGACCCTTTTCCTGCTGAAGGCAAACCTCATTTTCTCTAAGTTGACCCTCTCCGAAAAAGAGCATCAACAGTTTGGCGCCGTCTGTGGGAATCGACACAAGAAGCTTCTGTCATTCTTCCCTTTTTCAATGTCCTTCGGCACCCTGGAAGGTTTCATGCCCATCGCCAATTTTCATCTCATGCAAGTCTTATGCCTCTGGCACCCTTGTGTCTAGCCACATTGCTTTGTGACATGCAAGCTTTGTGTTGCCTTCGGCACCCCTGTGCCTAGCCACATTGCCTTACGACACGCAAGCTTTGTGTCGCCTCCGGCACCCTCGTGCCTAGCCACATTGTCTTGTCACACGCAAGCTTTGTGTCGCCTCCGGCACCCCTGTGCCTAGCCACATTGCTTTGCGACATGCAAGATTTGTGTTGCCTTCGGCACCCCTATGCCTAGCCACATTGCCTTGTGACACGCAAGCTTTGTGTCACCTCTGGCACCCTCGTGCCTAGCCACATCGCTTTGCAACATGCAAGCTTTGTGTTGCCTTCGGCACCCCTGTGCCTAGCCACATTGCCTTGCGACACGCAAGCTTTGTATTACCTCTGGCACCCTCGTGCCTAGCCACATTGTCTTGCGACACGCAAGCTTTGTGTCGCCTCCGGCACCCTTGTGCCTAGCCACATCGCTTTGCGACATGCAAGTTTTGTGTTGCCTTCGGCACCCCTGTGCCTAGCCACATTGCCTTGCGACACACAAGCTTTGTATTACCTCTGTCACCCTCGTGCCTAGCCACATTGTCTTGCGACACGCAAGCTTTGTGTCGCCTCCGGCACCCTTGTGCCTAGCCACATCGCTTTGCGACATGCAAGCTTTGTGTTGCCTTCGGCACCCTTGTGCCTAGCTACATTGTCGTGCGACACGCAATTCTTATGCCTTCGGCATCCTCATGCCCAGCTACTTCACTCTGCGACATACAACTTTGTGCCTTCAGCAACCCCTTCACCTTCGGCACTCTCGTGCAAAGTTCTCTCCTTTCCAAATGTCCTTACCTGGGGACTTGGGGGACTACGCTTTTGGCACCCTCCACAATTCGACTCGAGCGATGCCTTCGACACCCCGCCACAATTAGGCGCCAGCGATGACTTCGGCACCTCGCCTTGCATGACTTGCATAGCCAAAAGAGGAAGCCACCATTTCAGCCCAAGGAACCACCTTTTAGTCATGTTGAAAGAGTCTCAATTTATGGGTGCCCAAATATCCCAAATGCACCAAGGATATCACCATGCATGGCCAAGGAAAAATTACTCCACTCTGAGGGCTGCCCAGGTACATCCTCACCACCAGATAAGATTTCTCCTCTTACATATAAATATTGTATACAAACATGCAATATTTAAATAATTCCTTGCACAATCCTATTCAACAATATGGTTCATGAATAACTGCTGTCCGGGCCACTTTGAAGATGCTCCAATTTGGCAATTGCCAAATATTCCAATTCACCAACAGCTTCAATTTGTAGGGCCAAGGAGGCCAACCACCATTTCAATCCAATGGGAAGCCACGTGGTTATTATTGCTCACATGGCTTGCATGGTTACATTTGTTTGCATGGCTTATGTGGTTATTATTGTTTGCATGATTGAAGACAACTAGCTGAAAGTCTGGAGCAATTTAAATGGCCAAGCCATACAGCACCCAGCCACTAAACTTATCAAGAGACCCAATGGGAAGGCAAGTGTCAACTACTTCATACAGTTATAAACTTGACTGTCAACATTCATGCTCAAACAAAGGAACAGCACCTCAGCTACAAAAAAAAGAAAAAAAAGAAAGGGGCTTCAGCAGCTTCAAAATTCAACGGCACTCAAAGGCTGGACCAAGTTCCTCATTGCCCAGCAATCCGCAGATATTAGTGATATCAAAGAACAAGGCTTGCTTTGGTCCATCAGTTTTCTCTTTGTTATCAGCTTTCTCGGACTCTTCCTCTGTCATGCCTCTTTGAAAGATCATGATCATGGACTTCAAATTGACATATCCAAGTGGCGCTGCAACAACAAGGCTCATGAATCAAACATGGAGCTTCACATGGAGACAAGGCACCTTACCGATTGTTAATGAGCCCAAGCCGACAATATGCTGAAGCCTCCTTCGGAAAAGTACCCAACCTCTTCCCAAAATTGTGCCTCTTCTTGACAAAAGCCCACTAGCAACGACACAAGCTCTCAAGAAGGGGGACTCGAGAACACACCTGCGTGCCGACGGCCCAACCTCCTCTCTTGACCAGCTCAAGTACCGAACGACAAGGAGCATTCAACAAGTATGGAGGCTCACACGAGGCCCAGCTCCACTCCTGCCGGACCCAACACCTGCCGTCTAAAATTTCTCCTCATAACAGCTGCCTCGGAGCCTAGCTCCAACTTCACGCCAAATCTGCAGAGCTGCCGAATGACCAACTCAACACCCTTGATCTTCTATTTTTGGTCTTCTCAGAAACTTGCCGAAGGCTTAGCTCACAAAACCCAGCTCAGCCTTGCCTTGATAAATGCCAGGCCCAAACTCAAGCCTTGCCAAAAGCCCAGAGGCTCCTTACCGAACCTGCCTTCACAATATATTCCAAGGCTCATGCACAAATAAATGGAGGCCTCAAAAAATTTTCTCTAGACACCCTTGCCGAACGGCAAAGCTGTGCAACAAAAACGGAGGGGCTCAGAATATGGATACGATCATGACTTCTCTTTTGCAAAACTCACTCACCAAAGCTCAAGCTAAGCCAAGACGCATCAAAGAGACTCGAATTCACAAGAGAAAGACTTGCCGAACGGCAACGCTATACAACAGCTCAACATCACCGTGGCACGAACTTGTGCACTCAGGGCCTCAGAATCTGCCCCCAGAGCCCAGCTTCTGAGTCTGCACTCCAGAACCCGTGGGCTCAGCCTAGTTCCTCCAAAATCAAGCGTCAAAATACTAAACGGCACTTACCATCAAGCGAAAGATGCGAAATAGGGTTTGCCCAGCTCAACCCAGCCTAGCCCCTTGGAAGATCCCCCCCGAATGAAGTTAACGAACTGACTGCAATCAATTGCACAGATCAAAGTAATAGAGATGGTAATAAATCTGCACACAATCAGGCACTCCAATATCTGTGATTTACTTTCCCTTTATTGTGATATTGTAATTCCATGTAATTATAGGTAATTGTACCCAAATAGGAATGTACTTGGAGACCAAGTACTCACCACTTGTATAAATACTCTAGTTCTATTTGAATACAAATCATCGAATTTCAAACCAAAAGTGAATCTCTGACATGGTATCAGAGCTATAAACCCTAGTCTAGCTTTGTTTATACCAAAATGAACAGCCAATGAATATCGGACACGTGGACCAAACCAGAGCTATGGGAGCCTTCGGCACCTATCTTCGGTACCACTCCTACTGGTCGCACCATTAGGGCAACCTCACCCCCAGGGACACGTGGCAGTCCCACAATTGATGTCCACAGTCCCACATCGAAACTATAAAAGAGGACAACTATCCCAGCTTGGAGGTAATCAATCAGAACTCACGGCATACTGCCTATTGATCTGTAGTTCAAACTTACTAAATCCGTACTTACTTAAGCATCGGAGAGCCTTCGGCTGGTACCACACCGGTGCCCTAGGTCTTACCGTGCATTTGCTATCTTACAGATTGAAAGCCCTACTGAGGCCACAGCATACCGAAGGAAAAATAATCACTAAGTTGCGCGGGAAAGTGCCGAACCATTTTTCTGCGTCAACAGTTTGGCGCCGTCTGTGGGAATCGATAACAGTCAACCTACAATTTCTAAAAAAAAACATATGGGAACCAGACCACAGTTCCTATCGGAGGATGGATTACCGTACGGTATGCCAAGTGGAGCAAGCCCCGCGCTACACCCTAGCACCCCCTTCGGTAATCCTCCAGCGCTTCAGACCACGGTCGAACCGGAGCTTCTAGCTCAAATGACTTCCCTTCGGAGGGAAATGGCTAAACTCCAAGAACATAACAATCTCCTCTCGTCCAAAGTAGACGAAACCCAGTGGTTGGTTAACCAACAGGAAACACAGAGCATTCAGGCTACCGAGTCTTCCCAGAGTCTGCAGACCCCCGGTCGGCAGAAGAAGGGAAAGAAGGGGGCAAAGGCAACGCCTGCACCTTCCAAACAGTTAGTGGTCCCAGCTCCATAGGACCAGCCTCACGTGTCGAAGAAAGTGTACACCGATTGTCGTCATCGGATCAACGACAAGAAGGATGCCGAATGGCATAGGTCCCCAATCAAGGGTTAATGCCCACCTGCGGGACTCACGATGAAGGTCCTAGGAGATAAATCGCCCCTTAGGAGGGTCTAGGGTTTGGATTTGGGATTGGAATCTGATGATGAGTACGTCCCCACCAAGGGCACCGAATCGAACTACTGTTCGGAAACTCCCCCGAAGTATTCGAAGGCAAGGCCACCGAGTCCGAGGAGAACTTCCGAAGACTTCAGTTCCGAGGAGGTCCCAAGCCGAGACCCCGCTATCCGTCTGCTCTTCCAGAGAATCCAGAAGATGGAAGATGACCGAACCCGGTCCCAAGTACCCGACTGGGGAAAACTTCGGCCATGACCATTTACCGAGCGCATCAAGAAGTCCAGACAGGATAGGGAGGTGCAGCCGTTGCGCATACCATTTTATATCGGCGTGAAGGACCCCTTGACGCACCTTCACTCCTTCCAATCGGCAGTTGGATGCAAAGGGCCTCAGCGACGAGGGGCAATGCCTACTGTTCCCATCATCCCTTACTGAAGCTGCTTTGAACTAGTTCTACCGTCTCGAGCCTGGGAAGGTAGACTCCTTCGACGAACTGAAGTAGATTTTCCTCAATCACTTCATGATCCAGACGGATTGCTTGTACTCTGCCGATGATCTGTACACGATTCGACAGAGAGAAGACGAACCCCTACGGGAGTATGCTGCGAGCTTCACGAATACTCGAGGTGTCCAGAAAACGGACGATAGGGCAGCCTACGGCGCCTTCAAGAGTGGGCCTTCGGTCCTCTCATTTCCAGTATCTCGTGCACAGTAGTAACTGGCGCACATATGATGAACTAATGAAGCAGGCGGCAGTCCATGCGAAGGTCGAATATTTCAACTCCAAACCCGGGCCTTCGGCTCGGAAGGAGGAGTCAGCACCCAAGAGTTACCTAGGGCGAACTGACGATTCTTCGGCAAGGCACAAGCGGAAGGACGACCGTGACAGTCGTTAGGGAAACTCGAAGAAAGGGCGCGGGAAATACGGTCGTAATGACCACCGTGCGCCACTACCGAATCATGATCGTGCCCAGGAAGTCTTCACCCTGCTGAACATTACATATGAGACCGTTTTGATGAACGAGCACGATCAAATCCCGAAGCCAACTAACCGCAAGCCCAATCGGCAGGACAATCGGGACACTGGCAAATTCTGCCGATACCACCAGCAGAATAGCCACAACACCGAAGACTACGTTAGTCTGAGAAAGATCATTGAGCGCCTGATTCGGGAAGGAAAGCTGGATTAGTGCATCGCCAGGCCACCACAGGCACCGACACCGAACTCAAATCGGCAGATCAACATGATCAGCACGATCAGCGGAGGCCCCACTCTGGCGGGACCCTCTAACCGTTCAATGAAACAATATGTGCGTGCCGCTCACTACCCCCAGGTTTTCGGCATAGAAGACGATCAGTGCCGCAAGGTCCCGAAAGTGGGGTGGGAGCCCATCACATTCTGTGAAGAAGAAGAGGAAGGGATCGTTTACCCCCACGATGACTCGATGATCATTCGGGCCGAGGTCGCCGACTACGATGTAGGTCGGGTGCTGATTGACACCGAGAGTTCGGTGAACGTGATTTTTGCCGATGCATTCAAAGGACTGGGAATTGCCGACAGCATGGTCAATCAGCAAATAACGCCCCTCCTTAGTTTTTCTGGGGATCTGGTCCAGCCAGTCGACAGTATCAGTCTGCCCATCGCCTTCGGCGTCGCCCCCAGGAAAACAATGACCTACGGCATACAACGTCATCATAGGGCGAATGGCACTCACCAGGGTTAAAGCCCACTTATCCCCTCACATGTTGCTGATGAAGTTCCCTACATGCAACTGTACGGACGTGCTACGCCACTGCCCTTAAGTCGGTAGCTTGCAAACCGCCAATGGAAGCCATGACCGTGCAGGGACTACCGAACGGTAGCGGGCCCATAGATGACCCCAGGGAGGAAACGCCAACGTCGGTGGCGCAGCCTGCCGAAGAGCTCGAAACTGTGGTCCTAAACGAGGATTTTCCCGATCGTGGGTAAAAATCGGCACCAACCTAGATCCTGACCTCCGAAGACGGTTCATCGACTTCTTACGGCAACAGGCGGAGGTCTTCGCCTGGTCTTACGATGATATGCCCGGCATATCACCTGATGTCATCAACCACAAGCTCAGCATCTCCACCGCCCATAAACCGGTAAGGCAGAAGCGCCGATCGTATGATGCCGAACGGTACGAGGCTATGCGTACTGAGGTCGACAAGCTCAAAGCCATCGGCTTTATCAGGGAAGCTACGTACCTTGTCTGGCTTGCCAACTCAGTCATGGTTTGAAAGACCAAAGGAGGATGGCGGATGTGTCAGGACTATACCGACCTGAATAAGGCATGCCTGAATTGACCAGGTCGTTGACGTCACCGCTGAACACGATCTGCTCAGCTTCATGGACACCTATTTAGGGTACAACCAGATCTTCATGGACCCTGCCGATAGAGAGCATACGGCATTCAACACGGACCGCGGTTTGTATTGTTACAACGTCATGCAAGGCTCTTCAGAGTGCAGAACTTCGGTACCCACCCTTAGAGTAGCTAGCACTAGCCCTGGTCGCCTCGGCGCGAAGGCTTCGCCCATACTTCCAAGCGCACGAGATCACTGTTCTGACAAACCAGCCCCTTTGGCAGGTACTCCAAAAGCCAGATACGTCGGGCCAATTGGTCAAATGGGCAATCGAGTTGGGAGAATTTGACATACAGTTCAAGCCAAGGCATGCGGAAAAAGGTTAGGCCATCGCCGACTTCATCTCCGAGCTCACACCTCCTGCACTATCAGAAACATCCTGTCCGAACGATATTCTTACCGCACCGGAGAAAATGGATGCCGAGCGCTTTGACACTTCCGTCCCTCTCTGGATCCTGCACGTGGATGGCTCGGCGAACCAGCAAGGCTGTGGTGCCGGCTTAGTGTTAACCACTCCGGACGGTGGCAAAGTCGAATATGCCCTCCGATTCAACTTCAGGACCTCTAACAACGACGCAAAGTATGAGGCTCTCTTGGCTGGCCTTCGGCTAGCCAAGAGCATGAGCGCGAGACAGATCAGCATTCACAGTGACTCCCAGCTCATTGTGAATCAGATAACGGCAGACTTCGCAGCCAAAGATGCCTCTATGTCAGCCTACCTATCGGCAGCTCACCAACTCCTGCATAAATTTCAGGTTACGAGATTCGGCAGATCCCCAGGTCAGAAAATAGTCACGCCGATGCGCTCTCGCGTTTGCCTTCGGCAATAAATGACAAGATCGGAAGGAAGGTGCCGGTAGAGATATTATCCCAGCCAAGCACGACAACTGCTGAGGTATGAGGACACATGGATGTCTTCAATCTATGCTTTCCTGACAAACGGAACCCTTCCCACCGATAAATCCCAAGCTCGGAAGCTCCGGTACCGATCGGCAAGATACACGGTCATCGACGATGTTCTGTACAAGCGAGGCTACACCACGCCGTATCTAAAATGCCTAACCAGAGAGCAGGGGGACTACATCCTTCGGGAGGTCCACAACGGAGTCTGCGGTGACCATTCAGGATCCCGATTGCTCGCACACAAAGTCTTCCGACAGGGATATTTATGGCCGACTCTGCACCAAGATTAGTCAAGAAGTGTGACAAATGTCAACGGTTCGGTAGCGTCCCTCATGTTCCTGCCGATTTGCTCTCACCGATTATAAGCTCGTGGCCATACGCCCAATGGGGGTTAGACTTAATTGGTCTGATGCCAGAAGGCAAGGGTCAGGTCAAATACGCTGTGGTTGTCGTGGACTACTTCACCAAATGGGTAGAAGCCAAAGCCTTAGCAACAATAACGGCAGCCAGAATTGAAGATTTCATCTAGACGAACATTTGCTGCCGATTCGGCATCCCCTACGCCATCATCATGGATAACGGCAGGCAGTTTGATTCGAAAGTCTTCAGGGAATTCGGCATTCACCTCAAGATCAACCTGTTCTTTGCTTCGCCAGCTCACCCCCAATTGAACGGCCAGGTCGAAGCAATGAATAAAATTGTCAAGAAGCTATTGAAACGACAGCTTAACAAAGACAAAGGAGCCTGGCCGGAGAAGCTTCCAGAGGCGTTATGGGCCATCCAGACATCCTACCGAACGGCAACCGGGGAAACACCGTTCTCCATGGCTTTTGGCTCGAAAGCGGTAGTCCCAGTGGAAATCGGAGAGCCTTCCTACCGAACGGAAGCTTTCAGACCAAAGGCGAATGAGGAGGCGCTCGCCTTAAGCCTCGACCTGCTCAAAGAACGCCGAGCACAAGCCAACCTTCGGGACGAAGCTTACAAGCAGCGCGTCTCTCGATACTATGACTCCAGGGTCAGACCCTGCTCTTTCCGAATTGGAGACTGGGTCATGTGAAAAGTCTCTTTGGCAACTAAGAATCCTACGGAAGGAACCCTCGGACCTTCCTGGGAAGGACCCTACGAAATCATTGGTATCCAGCGATCGGGGACTTATCGACTTAAAGACTCCAACGGAAAGGCCCTCGGTCATCCTTGGAATGTAGAGCATTTGAAATATTATTTTAAATGAAGTCACCTAGTCTACGGCAGGGTTAAAATAGAGTCCAGAAAGCCTTTGGCCTATTTATATTCACAGTCTTCGATAGTGTAGCGTCCCCTAGCCTACAGCAGGTTTTATCAATGAAAGGGCCTTCGGCTCATATATTCAAAACCTTTGGTGTACCCCTTAAGCTCTTTTCATTTAAAAAGATACGGTAGAGACCATCGGTCGCGTTAAACTATGTTTTTTGGCATTGCTATTAGCCTACCGACTGAAGGACAACTTAGTTGAGCGATTAATGAATCATCTTAACTGCCTACCGATCCAAAGTGAACTTAATTTTGAGCTCCTACTTGCCTTCGGCATTTAAAGCCGTTACTTAGCCTTCGACAAGATTGGCAAAAGACACAAACATACTTCAATTAAAATGAAAACAACTTCAATTAAAAGATGCCCACGGCATCAAGGTTCAATCAAAAGATGCCCACGGCATCAAGGTTACATCAAAAGATTCCCACGGCATCAAAGTTACATTAAAGGATGCCCTCGGCATCAAGGTCACATAAGATAAAAGCTGAAAATGAGAAGAAGCTTTTGGAGAAGATTGACACCCTGCCGTTCGAAATAGGACTATACCTTTGAGTATCATTGCAGAGCGTACAAAACTTTATGTCGAGGATGGAGAGCTGTCAAGTAGCCTCCTCGGCATCTGCCGATTCGGCACCAGTGGCAGTGTGTTCTCTCCCGGAGCGTCCTCCCTTCATACTCATCTATCATTTCTTCCGTGATGCCTTCGGGAAAGGGAGGGGGATCGGCAATAAAGTTGAAATTCAGCTTCGTCCCAGGGTTCTACCGCTTAAAACGGTTGATCAGATCCACCATCTCTGAGCCCACCTCCTTGTCGAGCAAGGTGGAGAAATCGGAAGAATGACGGTACTTCGGATAGCCTCCTGGATAGCAGCCTCGATCTTCGAAGCCCTAGCCTGCTCCGACTCTGCCAAAGCCACCTGGACCGCCTCATTCGCCTCCAGAGCCTCTTTTGCCGATAGCTGCGTCGACTCCAGGGCTGCCGACAGATCGGCGAACTTAGCCTCATAAACCTTGACCTGCCGTTCGGCAGCCTGCAAATTCTTCGCCAAGTTCGCATGATCCTGGATAGCCTTGCCAGCCTCGGCACTCCTGCCGACAAATCCTTGTAGGCCTTTGCTTTCTCGGCGGCATTTATGGCCCGCTTAACACACATCCACATGTCCATCGAAGCCTGGGAAACAATGGAAATGTTAGATGAAATATAAAAAATAAAAAAAAGCAATCGGTAAGTTAATCTGGGAATACTTGGAACTTACCGAAGCTTGAAGGCGGAAAGTGCGACCAGCCTCCTCCCGAAGGAGCTTCTTCGGCAGGTCTTCGATCTCGGAAAGCTCCATTTGCGAACCAAGGATCATGTGGTTCTCAAACTGGACCATCTTCGACAGACAGGCCAAGGTGACGGGGTCAGCAAGTTCATCGTCGTTGTCAGCGGCAAAGATGGCCCGAGGAAGCTCAGTTTGCCGCCCGCGCTTTGGGGCAGGTTCGGCATCCAGGTCGACGGTGAACGGCCGCTTGGGAGGAGGTCCCCTCAGTAGGAACACTTCGGCCTGGAGACGGACTGACCGCTGCCTCCCCAGCAAGTCAGCATTGAGCTGGTGGAGATGGTCAGCCAGGGTTTGGTCCTCGAGGTCGACTTGTACCGAAGACGCCGGTATCGTGTCCTGCTGCTAGCTCTTCTTTTTCTTCCCCTGGAAGCCCATCATGAGACGCCGCTTGGAGGACTCATTCATCCTCTTCGCCTCGGCATCTCTCCTCTCTTCCGTCACTGCACAAACAAGGATCAGTAAGGCTTTACTACCGCCAAAAACAACTTACAAATGGCCAAGTGCACTTACCCTCGGCAGGATCGACCAGTTGAGCTTGGATAAGGTTGGCGGTGAAGAGAACCTGCGGGTACACCCCCTTCTAGGTAGGGACCTTGCTCCTCACCTTCTCCACTTGTTGAATCTCTGCTTGCGTAGGGATCGGCTGCTTTAGTTTACCTACAAGAGGAATAACAAGGAAACGATCAGTCACAGTAAAAATGGGCCCCGAAGAAGGTACCGAACGGCATGTTATCCTACCGGCTATTTGGAATGTTGTGGGAATTGGAAATCGGACAGGCTGTCCCGAAGGCGACTCCCAGTCACCCAAAAGAAGCACCCGCCGATTCCTCCATGACTTCTGAGAAGTCGGCACCCAGTTCACAAAGTGACCACGCTCGGTAGCCTTGAGACAGTTCGCCTGTACCCATCCACCGTGATCGGTACGCTTGGACTTTGTGATATTGTACAGGTACGAGAACTGCTCGTAGGATGGCCACCCTTCACCGGCCATGCCGAAGGCCGTTATCACTCTCATGAGGGCCACCCAGAAGTTCAGGTTAAATTGTCCCGGAGCATAGCCGATCTGGGCCAAAATCCTCTGTACCACTGGCTGCAATGGCAACCGAACACCTTGAATAAGGACGTCGGTAAAGAAGACCACCTCGCCGTCCTTCGGCTTGCTGAGGGATTCTGTAGGGCCCGGGATTCTCATTCGTACTAACTCGATACTTGGCAATCTCCCGCTCGATAATCTTGTTCGGCCCAAGATAGTCGACACCGAACAAATTTTCCTTCGGCACCCCCGTAGGTACCCTAGGGTTGCTTGGGTATACTACCAATACCCTCGGCTGAGAGGATGGTTCGGCGGCTGACTCTCCACGGCCGGAAGTGGAGGTCTTTGACCGACGACCAGCGCTCATCTCCGCAGGCATACCTAGACCCACATGGGGACCGTCGCTATAGATGATAGACAACGGAACCGGAGCGGTCATTAGCCCCTTACCAATACCGTGAGAAGGAACGAAGCTGGGACCTTCACTGAGTATCTCAACATCGGTGTCGCTTCCGCCCTCGGCAGCGGGGCTTACCGCCTCGTTGTCCGAATTAAAAAGACCGTCCGATGACTCCCCATCGAACGCATTGGGCTCACGCTTGGAAAAGGACTCGCTATCGGACATCTACAAAAAACAAGGAAGATGGAAACTAAGGTTCATGCCAAAGACTATCCTACCGATTACTACATCACTACCTATGGCGACTAGACTATCGAACGGAACCCTATGATCAGTCTAGTTCAAGCCAAGGTAACAAAAAGTAAAAGAGAGAGTATATTGAGAGTACCGAACGGTACCTTAATCCAAGCTCTGGAATACCACGAACTGTTCTACCTATCACCCTGATGGAAATCGCCTTTCTTGCCATTTGCAACACCGAAAATCGCCTGAATTACCGTTAGTATGCGTCGGAAATCGCTTTTGGTACCGAAAGCTTTCGTCGAAAATCGCCTCAACAGAGCTCTCGCGTCTCTCACAAATGCAAAGTGAGTTTCCTCCCGGAGTCACCCCTATTTATAGGGCGAGGGTTCGCAACGGTACACCTCAAGAAACCAAACGGCGCATTAATGCGCCGCGCCTCATGTTTACTCTCGCCATGTGTCACTCATCCTATGGTGGACTGACGGCACGCGAGGCGCGGAAGATGAAGCGCCCAGTTGTCCCCTCACCCATCCACTCGATGCGACCTTCTGATTTCCCCGACGTCAGCCTCTGAACGAGCAAGAACGAAAGAGCCAAAGTTGAGCCCTTCCACTAAACTGGGTTACCGAACGGTAGGACGGCATTTCCTTCTGAAGACAACTTCAAATTTCCTTCCGAAGACAACTTCAAATTTCCTTCCGAAGACAACTTCAAATCCCCTACCGAAGACAACTTCAAATCCCCTTCCGAGAACTCTCGCAAGAGGACTTGGGGGACTCATGTTTATACCAAAATGAACAGCCAATGAATATCGGACACGTGGACCAAACCAGAGCTATGGGAGCCTTCGACACCTATCTTCGGTACCATTCCTACCGGTCGCACCATTAGGGCAACCTCACCCCCAGGGACACGTGGCAGTCCCACAATTGATGTCCACAGTCCCACATCGAAACTCTAAACAAATTGCACACCTCCCGAGGCCTATAAAAGAGGACAACTATCCCAGCTTGGAGGTAATCAATCAGAACTCACGGCATACTGCCTATTGATCTGTAGTTCAAACTTACTAAATCCGTACTTACTTAAGCATCGGAGAGCCTTCGTCCGATACCACACCGGTGCCCTAGGTCTTACCGTGCGTTTGCTATCTTACAAATTGAAAGCCCTACCGAGGCCACAGCATATCGAAGGAAAAATAATCACTAAGTTGACGGGAAAGTGTCGAACCATTTTTCTGCGTCAACAAGCTTCCTTGCGTTTTCTCTCTGTGTTTTTTTTTCTCTGCCCACATATGCCTTCTTCTGCTGAACCCTCTCCTACAAATACTCCTCCTCCTTCTTCTCCAATGGCTTCCTCCTTGTCTGCGACACCTCTTGCTTCTTCTATGGTCTCTCTTCCTAATATCTCTATGTTGTTTCTATCAATTGGATCGTACGAACTACATCATTTGGAAAGCTCAGTTCTTGGCCCTGTTGAAGAGTACTGGTTTAATCGGATATGTTGATCAAACAAATCCGTGTCCTTCTCAGTTCACCTCTGATGGCGTCACCCCCAATCCTGCTTATGCAGACTGGCATAAACTTGATCAACAACTGCTCAGTTGGATTAATTCTACCCTCACTCCTGGTGTGCTCTCTCGGGTTTCTCGTTGTCCTACAGCTCGTGATGCCTGGATCTCTTTGGAGAAACGTTTCAATTCTCAGTCCCGTTCTCGTATTCTTCAGTTGAAGCACCAGCTGCAAACCACCAAATGCGGTACCTCCTCCATCACTGATTTTGTCGATCAAATGACTGCTGTTGCTGATAGTTTGGCTCTTGCTGGAAAACCCGTGGATGATGATGATCTTATTGACCTTATTCTCAATGGTCTCGGACCGGCGTATGAGAGCGCCGTCAACTCTATTCAGTCTCGTGACCCTCCTATGGCTCTTGATGATGTTATTACCTTTTTATTAACTGCTGAGACTCGTATGGCTGAATATACCCCTTCCATGACGTTTGATTCTACCACTCAAGTGTTTTATGCTAATCGTGGCCATGACTTTTCCAATCGTGGGTCCTCCTTTTCCCGTGGTGGTCATCGTGGCGGCTTCTCTAGCTCCCGTGGTGGTTTTTCTGGCCCCGATTCTTCTCCTGGTCGAGGCATCCTTCCTCTCCCCTCTCAGGCTCCCCTTTCCATGCCCGTTGCTCCTAGCCGTGGTGGTTTCTCCTCTCCGTCTTATGGTTCATCTCCTGGTTTTAACGGTCATTGTTATAACTGTGGCGAATATGGTCATATGGCTCGTCGCTGCCCTCGCCCTCCTATTGCTCCTCAAGCCATGGTTGCCTCTCATACTCCTACTCCGTCATCCACCTGGTTTACTGATAGTGGTGCCTCCGCTCACATAACAAATGACCTTGCTCATCTCCAGCTCTCTCAGACTTACGGTGGTTCGGATCAAGTTTCTGTGGGTAACGGTCAAGGTTTGCATATATCTAATATTGGTTTTGGTTCCATCTCTCAATTCCATTTAAATAAAGTTCTTCATTGTCCTTCCGCATCTCATAATTTACTTAGTGTTCATCAATTTGCTCTTGATAATTCTGTCTATTTTATTTTCACCCCCTCTGATTTCTATGTGAAGGATCTCGTCTCGGGGAAGACGCTTTTCCACGGCAAGAGTGAAAATGGTCTCTACCCGTTCCGGTCTCCTTCGTCCTCCTCCTCATTTCCTACCACCGCTGTGGCCCTCCTTGGTATCCGTACTTCTTCTCCCGTATGGCATCAACGCTTAGGTCATCCATCTCCTGCTGTCTTTCAGAAGCTTTCAGCTCACCTTCCCCTTCGTGGTTCTCCTCGGAGTTCTTTTTGTTCTCATTGTCCTATAGGCAAAAGTAGTCGTTTACCATTTCAGTTATCTTCTTCTGTTTCTACTGTTCCGTTACAACTCATTCATTGTGATATTTGGACATCTCCCGTTTTATCTAATAAAGGTTCTAAGTATTTTATATTATTTGTTGATGATTACTCTCGTTATACATGGGTTTTTCCAATGCGTTTTAAGTTTGAAGCTTTTGATTATTTTCATAAATTTAGGATATTGGTGGAAAATTTGTTGTCTGTTGACCGTGTGTGCACAATCAAATCTCTTCAAACAGATGGGGGGGCTGAATTCCTTAGTCACCAATTCCAGCATTACTTAAGTACTCATGGGATTTTTCACCGTGTTTCCAATCCTCACACACCCGAACAAAACGGAGCCGCCGAACGCAAACAGCGACACCTCATAGACATGGCTCTTACTCTCCTTGCCACCGCCCATATGCCCCCTTCCTTTTGGGTTGAAGCTTGTAATACTTCTACCTATTTAATCAACCGTTTGCCCGCCCGTCAATTAAATTATTTGTCTCCCTATGAATCTTTGTTTGGTCGTCGTGTTGACTATTCTATTTTTCGTGTTTTTGGATGTGCATGTTTTCCTTACCTGCGTCCTTATAATAAACATAAACTTCAATTTCGTTCTAAACAATGTGTTTTCATAGGTTATTCTCTCAATTACCAAGGTTATCGGTGTTATGATCCTTCAACTAGTCGTGTTTATCTCTCTCGTCATGTTGTTTTTTATGAATCTACCTTTCCGTTTCAGGCTCTCTCTCACACTTCCTCTGTTCCTCCATCCCCGGTGCCTCCCTCTCCACCTTTAGTCGTGTCTTCCTCTCCCGTTGTTTCTCCACCACCGCCATCTCCTTCCCCACAGCCTCCTCATTCTCCTCCTCCTTTGCCCACGGTCACTCATGTTGATGTCCCCGCTTCTCCAGTTGAGTCATCCCCGCCCCCCTTCCTTCCCACTACCCACACCATGGTCACTCGTTTGAGAGATGGGATTAGAAAACCGAATCCCAAATATGCAAATCTTGTTTTTTCGCAGGTATCTGAGATCGAACCTACCTTGTTCGAGAAGCAAACAAATCGGATCAATGGCGCCAGGCTATGCTCACAAAGGTCCAAGCCCTTCATCACAATCATACTTGGGATCTTGTTCCTCCCTCCCCTCACCGCCATGCCTTGCCTTGCAAATGGGTGTTCCGTATCAAACGCCGCTCCGATGGTTCCATTGAACGGTATAAGGCCCGTCTGTGGCCAATGGGTTTCATCAACAATATGGCATTGACTACTTGGAAACTTTCAGTCCTGTTGTTAAGCATGTTACTGTTCGCATTATTCTTTCTCTTGCTTTTTCTCGGCAATGGCCCATCCGTCTGCTTGATGTCACTAATGCTTTTCTTCATGGTTACTTGTCTGAAGAGGTTTACATGCGTCAACCCCGCGGTTTTGAAGACCCTAAATTTCCTCATCATGTATGTCGCCTTCGGAAATCTCTCTATGGTCTCAAGCAATCTCCCCGTGCTCGGTTCTCCCGTTTCTCTGAGTTTCTTATTCACTCAGGTTTCACGGCTTCCAAGGCGGATCCTTCCTTATTCATTTTTCATAAAGATGACAATTTTCTCTTCCTTTTGATTTACGTGGACGATATTATTGTTACTGGTAATGCTTTGTCACAGGTTAACGCCCTTCTTCAGTCTCTTAATCGTCAGTTTGCTATGAAAGATTTGGGGGATCTTCATTTTTTTTGGGCATTGAGGTCCAGCGTACTCCGGATATGTTGTGTTTGAATCAAGCCAAATATGCGGCTGATCTTCTAAAAAGGGCCACCTTACATGAGGCTAATCCTTGTCTCACTCCGGTTGCCACTGGTTCTCAACTTAGCTCTCTTCATGGCTCTCCTCTCTCGGATCCCACCTAGTATCGCAGTCTTGTTGGCGCACTTCAGTATCTCACCATCACCCGTCCGGACATTTCCTTTGCCGTCAACCAAGTTTGTCAATTCATGCATCAACCTACTGATATTCATTGGAAAGCCGTCAAGCGTATTCTACGTTATGTTCTTGGCACTTCTCATGATGGCCTTGTTTTTCGTCCTGGTACTCTCTATACTCTATGCCGACTATGCTGGTAATCCCGATGATTGTCACTCTACAGGGGGATATTGTATTTTCTTTGGCTCCAACCTTGTCTCATGGAGCTCCAAGAAGCAGCCCACCGTTTCCCGCTCTAGTACCGAATCTGAGTATCGTCAATTGGCTCTCACTGCTATGGAACTCTCATGGATTCAACAACTCTTACAAGAATTACATGTCTCTTTGCCCTCACCTCCTTTGCTTTGGTGTGACAACACAAGCTCTATTGCTCTTGCTTCTAATCCGATCTTTCATGCACGCACCAAACACATTGCTGTGGATTATCATTATGTCCGTGAACTTGTCCTTGCTGGCTCCTTGCATGTTCGTTATGTCTCCACCCATACTCAGCTGGCTGACATTTTTACCAAGGGTCTCCCGCTTCCTCGGTTTGCATTTCTCAAATCCAAGCTGTTGCGCTCTTCGCACATCAGCTTGCAGGGGGATAATAGAGATGGTGATAAATCTGCACACAATCAGGCACTCCAATATCTGTGATTTACTTTCCCTTTATTGTGATATTGTAATTCCATGTAATTATAGGTAATTGTACCCAAATAGGAATGTACTTGTACTCACCACTTGTATAAATACTCTAGTTCTATTTGAATACAAATCATCGAATTTCAAACCAAAAGTGAATCTCTGACACAAAGAACCAGCACCCTTGCCGAACGGCAAGGGTCGTGCTGCGAAACGGGGGCCTCCAGAAATTTTTTCACTATATCCCTACCGAACGGCAGTTTCTATGCTGAAGGAGAAGCTCAAATTTCTCTCACCGAGCACTAGACCAACAGCTCAAATCTGCAAAAATAGCCCTGCCTAAATCCCTTGCCGAGTCTGCTATGACAACATCATCATCATACCAAACGAACAAGTTGGTCTTGCTAAACGGCAAAACCCATGAACTAAAATCGGACGCTGTAAACATAACTTACCTAGAGTTGCCGAAGCACAAGTTCCCAACCTGCATGTCCAACTCCCAAATTATCCAGGTTATGCAACAAAATGGACGGTATCAGCTCCAGACTTGGAACGAGCTCAAAACAGATGAGTTACAATTTGCTCAAGACACCCTTGCCGAACGGCAAGCGTTGAACAAACTAAAAGAGAAGGCTAACAAGGTCACGGCTCCCAAATCATGATCCCAAGTCAACCTTGCCGAAACCTGAACACCAAGTTTTAGAGAGTCCAGCTCCCAGACCCGACACCCAGCTCCCGCAGCTTCCGAATTTGGGCTCCAGCTCTGGTTTTTTGTACCAAATTGGGTCCTTGTCGAAGCCCCAAAGCGGACCTAAAACTGTAAGAGCACTTCGAACTCCTTCATGAATGAGACAGAGACACAAACCCACAATGAAAAAGCACGGCTACTCTTGCCGAACGGCAAAAGATGGGGGCAATCGGAGAAAGACTCACTACAAGAAGAACTCAGCAAATCAGCCTATCCAATTCCCAGATTTTTTTTTTTTTTTTTTTTTTTTTTTTTTTTTTTTTTTTTTTTTTTTTTTTTTTTTTTTTTTTTTTTTTTTTTTTTTTTTTTTTTTTTTTTTTTTTTTTTTTTTTTTTTTTTTTTTTTTTTTTTTTTTTTTTTTTTTTTTTTTTTTTTTTTTTTTTTTTTTTTTTTTTTTTTTTTTTTTTTTTTTTTTTTTTTTTTTTTTTTTTTTTTTTTTTTTTTTTTTTTTTTTTTTTTTTTTTTTTTTTTTTTTTTTTTTTTTTTTTTTTTTTTTTTTTTTTTTTTTTTTTTTTTTTTTTTTTTTTTTTTTTTTTTTTTTTTTTTTTTTTTTTTTTTTTTTTTTTTTTTTTTTTTTTTTTTTTTTTTTTTTTTTTTTTTTTTTTTTTTTTTTTAAAAATGAGAGCCGTATTACAGAATTTATACGTCATATTTTGAAAATAACGACGTGGAAAAAATGATGGGGTCATTAATTACGACACAGTAATTTATGAGGACGACGTTGTCGTTTATATACAACGTCGGTACCATGAAAAAGACCGTCGTGTTTTAATAATTTATACGTCTTCATTAAAAAATTAACGTCGTCTAATTCATAAATCTTAACGTCGACAAATTTAATGGATTTCAAATACCGTCGTGAATTCATCCTTTCCCCTTCGTTTATGAAAGAACATGCGACGTGGTAAATTCATGACGACGTCGTCTTTTGTAACGTTTAGGTTAAAGTTCTCGTCTTTTAGACGTCGGTGTTATGGGATTGGAGACGTGTTATGTTGAATTACATGGCGGTTCTTTATCAAAACCGTCGTGTTTGTAATCTGGAACCAGTAATTTTTGTACTGATTGTTTTGTGGCCAAAACCTGTATAATGAATGAAAGTGAAGAAATCACATTACAATATATTACAAAATTAATGTCATACACTGCCAATTACATAAAGCATCATTCAACCCATATATCTTCACACACCCATCTCGAATATTTTGACTCCCTAACTCAACCACCACTTCATCAAATGTGTCAACATTTGGCATCCCCCTAGTAAATGGCTCACACTCAATTCTCACATCACCTAAGACATCATCACCAATAACATCATTATATTCTCTATTAGGCATTGATAACACTACCGACCAACCACGATGCATCGGGTCGTCAACAAAAAATACTTGTTTGACTTGAGAAGCCAAAACAAATTGGTCATTCCTATGTCCAATTTTACTCAAATCTACAAGGGTAAATCCAAGTTCGTCCACTACAAGACCAGAAGTATTATCAATCCAATCACACCTAAAGACTGGGATTGTAAACTTTTGGTAGTCAAGGTCCCAAATTTCTTGAATGACACCATAGAAACCCATATTTGAGAGAATTGGGTTTTTTATCCTTGGCACTAGCAACTTGCATAGTATGTGCAAGTAAATAAACTCCACTATTTTGAGTTGTCCCGCACATCATCTTGTGCCTTGATGTTGAATTTAATACCTTTAATGAGATAGCTCCTATATAATGGCACTGCCATGTTTGGACCAGCTGCTAGCCACCTTAAATTTTCTGATACGCCATGATTGTCCTCATTAAGTTCACTTTGAACCTGCAAATTAATCATAACTTAATTCAATCTAACATAGAAAGAAGAAAATTAAAAGTCCAATATGTTATTCAATAACATATACCTTCAAGCGTAGCCATTGAATGAAAGTGCTATTGTGCTTATCCTGCAGCCACTTTGTTCTCTTTCTAAATTTTGGATAAGCGGTCTGGATGTGGATCATATGTTGCCTACATGACACACAAAATTCAAGTATTACGGTCCCAAACATATAAGATAAACATAAGAAATAATTTAAAATGGAAACTTAAAGAATAAAACTCATACGTACTCGATATAAGGTAGGACTTCCTCCGTATTCTCCAAGACATATAGATGTGCTTGGTTCAACAGGTCCCGATCAACTACGCTCACTGTGCAACCTGATAATGGCTTTGAAACTCCCATCTTTTGGCTTGAAGGCACTCCAACTGTACTAACATCAGATAAATGCTCGGTACAAAACTCTACAGCTTCTTCAGCTATATACCGCTCAGCAATGCAACCTTCGGGACGAGTACGATTCTGAACTACCCCTTTAGCACTTTCATATATCTTTCAAACGGATACATCCATCAAAATATACTGGCCCACACAGACGAACTTCTCTGACAAGATGTACTACTAGATGAACCATGATATCAAAGAATGAAGGGGGAAAGTACTTCTCAAGCAAACACAAAGTACTACTACATCTTCTTCCAACTTATCTAGCTTGGAAACATCAACAGTCTTTGCACATATAGCATTGAAGAAGAAGCACAAACGAGTTATTGCATACCTTGCAGGCTTCTCCAAAACAGAACGAATTGCCACAGGGAGCAATTGTTGCATTAAGGTATGACAATCATGTGATTTAAGGCCAGAAGTCTTGAATCTTGTAAAGATACAAGATTTTTTATATTTGAAGAATAACCTTCAGGACCTTCATACCATAGAAAGAATTGCAAACCTCTCTCTTCTCTGCTCTTGACAAATTCCAAGGCCCGGAGGCAAACGAGTACGTCTTTCTCCATACTCGGGTTGCAAATCATTTTAACCCCCATGTTTCAATAAATCTAATCGAGCAGCAATCCCATCTTTATTTTTTCCAGGGATCTCCAGCAATGTACCAATGATACTATCGCAAACATTCTTCTCAATGTGCATAACATCTAGGACATGCCCTCACAGGAAGGTATTTCCAATACTCGAGATCAAAGAATATTGATTTCTTCTTCCAACAAACTCTGTCACCATCTTCAACCATATGCGCACTTCTTCTCCGGTTAATGGCTCAGGAGGCGTGCCATATTCAGGTTTCCCATTAAAAGCTGCACGTTGCCTCCTATATGGATGATTGATCGGTAACCATTTTCTATGCCCAATGTAACAAATTTTGTGGCCATTTTTCAACCTGTGACTAGGTGTATCATCGCCGCATATTGGACAAGCTTTATATCCTTTAACAACACAACCAGATAAGTTTCCATAGGCGGGGAAATCATTAATTGTCCACATTAATGCAGCTCTGAGTGTAAAGTATTCTCCATTATGTGCATCATACACTCCTCCAATCCCATCCCACAAAGATTTTAAATCATCAATCAAAGGCTCCAAGTAGACGTCTATATCATTTCCCGGCTGTTTAGGACCGGAAATCAATAAGGTCAACATCATGAACTTTCGTTTCATGCACAGCCATGGAGGGAGATTATATGTAACTAAGATAACTGGCCAGCAACTATATCTGCTACTTAGAGAACTGTGGGGATTGAATCCATCGATGAAAGAGCCAATCTCAAGTTTCTCTCGGCTCATTACCAAACTCGGGCCATTTATCATCAAGAAGTTTCCAAGACGGGGAATCCGCTGGATGAGACTATAACCGTCAATTGATTTTCTAGCAGCATGCCAAGTCAAACTCTTAGCGGTCTCATGTGATCGAAACATCCTTTTAAACCTTGGAATTGGAGGAAAATACCACACCACCTTCGCTGGCACACCCTCTTTCAAGATTGAATCTTTGCCTTCCTTCCCCTTGAGATACCCACAATTAGGACAATAAGTTAAATCCTCATACTCCTTCCTATACAAGATGCAATCATTGGGGCATGCGTGCATTTTCTCATAACTCAGCCCCAATGCACACAAAGTCTTTTTTGCCTCATACATAGAGGCCCGGTATTGTATTTCCTTCTGGAAGCAAATCGCCTTGAAGTATCAATAATTCTGTAAACAGACATCACTCATCCCATGTTTTGCCTTCAAATTATACAACTTCACTAATGCCGATAACTTCGTGTACTTTCTACAACCAGGGTACAATGGTTGATCTCCATCCCCAATCACATTGGCAAACTCATAAGGATCAGATCCAAATCACCAAAATCATTATCATCCATCTCTATTCTTCAGACACAAAACTGTACCTACTATGGTCATCATCTTCTTCAACATTTCTACTAGCATTAGTAGCTGCTTCCCAAGGTTCTCCGTGAAATGTCCAATTCTTATAGCTTTGGTCAACTCCATTAAAGTATAAGTGATCCCTTATAATTCCAACCCCAAACAATTTCAAATTAACACATTTAACACATGGACAACGGATATGTGTGGTAGTTAGAAGATTTTCTACAGAAAAGTTCAAAAATGCTTCCACCCCTAACTCATATGCCTTCGATCTTCTATCCGAGTGCATCCATGACTTATCCATCTCCGACACTATACCCTATTATATATAATAAAGTGAAAAGACAAGCAATGACCATCACTATAGCAGATTATATAAAGTCTAATAGCAAGTAATATACAACAGAGACGACGGTTTTTAAACAAAAACAGACGTCTTTGACATATATAGACGACGGATTTTACGTCGTCTAATTATAACCACGACGGTAGTTAAATAACACCGTCGTGTATAAGTAATAAAAACGACGGTTTAAAGTAAAAACCGTCGTCGTATGCCTGAAAACGCGTCGATATCCAGTTCATTTTCAAGATCCCAAAACCCTATTAAGAACACAACGTTATAGACATGAAACCAAGCAAGAAACCAACATATACATGAAACCAACATATACTAAGCATGAAAACAATAAATCCATTACCAATTCAACATAACAGAGAGTGATTAAAAGATCCGACAAAATGAAATCCATTCCATATTCAACATAACAGAGTGATCAAGAAAACATTAAACAGACAATCCATGAACCCATACCTCCAACAACATTATTAACAGATCGCAAAACATATACCTAAAACCCTTTAACAAAACAGCGTAATATATCATTCAATGAATTTACAAGGGGAAGAGAGGGTTTGTACTTACAGGTTGGCAGAGCTCACAGATTATGACCAAATTGGATTTGACACAGCCTGGCCCAACTTTGAATTAGAGATGAAGTGAGAGAGCGAAATGTTATTGATAGGCTTTTTAGTACCTGCGCAAACAGGGTTAAAACTCCTACAAAACTTGCAAAAATGACAAGGTTATTGTAGTATAAATGATTCAAGCAAGGGTCGTTCTCCGCAGGGATTATTAAATAACTCGTAGCAACCAAATTCTAATTAATTATTGCAAAAGAGAAAGTTGAGATGTTTGATTTGAAGACCTTAAATTAAAAAGAATTTAACTAATAAAATAACGCAATATGCAAAATTAAAGCTAAGAGCAAGAGAAAAAGTTGTGTTTTTAGAAATCAGATTAAGAAAGCACTAGGGATCCGCCGTCACCTTAACAATTCTATATAGTTCCCCCAATTACTTATAATCTATACATGCATATTTCGAAGGTTAGGTATTCCTAATATATGCCTACTTGGACCCCCAACATAGAGCGTATATCATACATGCAATCCGTCTGTGGTATTCAGATCGAATCTAAACATACATGACTCATTAAGTTCTGTGAAACCTTTTGAAAAACCATGCAACCCTTAAGACGTGGTATTCATCCTAAGTGAACTTGCACATATTAATCACAAGAAGCCTTCGTCAATTTCAGGGACCGACCTCCGACCAAAACTGCATCAAATTACTTTTCTAAACATCCTAATGGTGATCAAGCATCAAGACACTTAGATAGTTTAACCCAGTGATGAATAATTCGAAAACCTGCATGCATATAATCATAAGCAAATTGGACAGAAACTACATATTCTTGCTAAGGCTCGTGGCCTCACCCTAGCAAAAGAGAGTTAGTTACGCATGTTCACAATTGAAATCCAAGAAAATATCATTAAGAAGAATAAGAATGCAAACACCTGAAAGTCGCGAAAATCCAAAACCCTAGCAATTGCTCCAAAAGCCAAAAAGAAGTAAAAGGGAGTCCTCTAAATTGCTGTGAAAAGGAGCTTAAATACCTCCTAAAACCTAGCTGCCCAATCCCCACAAGGAAACTAAGTTAAAATAAAATAAGACTAGGAAATAAAGTCCAAATTGGATTAGGAGAATCTGCCAATAATCTGGTCAGCCACGTTTTGGTCTCAAATCTCCTCCAAATCTGGCCCAAGATAGCTCGTTTTAAAGATAAAAATATTCCAAACACTTCTCCAGAAGGCCATGAACCCATCCGAGGTCATCTTGGGCTCCAAAAACGCAATACAAGCCCAAAACGTCACTATTCCAGCACAGTGCACTGCTCCTTCATTTATTCACCAGGAAATCATCGCTTGGTGGAAAAGTCTGATATTTTGATACGATCAAGCTAAGTGGCTCACGAACGTCCTCCAACTGGAATTACTCCAAAATTCGTCCATTTGATTATGTTTTGCTCCAGAGGAAGTCGAAAGTCCTATATTGGAAATATAATTCAAAGTATCAAAATTCTTCCAAAATATTAACCAAAATATACTAAGAATGAGGCTAAATATATAATATAAATCGACTCATCAAAATACCCCCAAACTTAGCTTTTTGCTTGTCCTCAAGCAAAACAAGACTCAAACAAAAATAAAAGCTTAACAAACTAAACATTGGCTATCACTTTAACCAGAACAAAATTTCCACCTTCAAGTTGCAATCCATGGAAAATTTTAAAAACTAGAACATTTGTTCAATAGATCCAACTAATCCCACCACAGAGTCTAAGCTATTTAGAATCAATTAGAAAAGAATTCACAAACTTCCTTCGGTGTAAAGTGAACCATCATAGTTAAGGAAACTCGACTAAAACCTTTATCTCTCATCCCTTTTATTCAAACTTCACACACTTTTTTTTTTTTTTTTTTTTTTTCAGTAACAGTAGCGGTTGTGCAATGTCGGTTCCCTTAAGCTTTCGATCCACCCCATGTAGCGAGCTTTAAGTCAATGACTCCCAAACCACTAAGGCTTTAGGGCACTAGGTGTAGAACACCCCTAAGGACTTATTAACTCAAGCTGGAAAGGCTACGAAACCAACTAACCACCCTGCCTCATGCCAAAACTCTACCGTTTGTCTCGAGAATCACTGCTGATTAGGCAGGACTGGCCCGGTTACTAACAAAGCTTTGGGTGAGGCAATTATTACTTGATAATACATACTAACTTTATTTATATAGAACAAAAATTAAAACACACTGGGACAAACAATAAGTATTTCAATCTCACTCCCCACAAACCATGTTGGTGTGATGTGCAAATTTCAAAGTACAATTCAAGAATTAGTGTCTAAACAATAATAAACAGAAAAGACTCTATTGTGGGACTAATCTTCACCATGTCTATTTGTTCTAAAGTTTAAAATAATCTATGGATATTAACTTAAAAATGAAAATTTTAGACGAGACTAAAAATCTAAAATTTACTTTCCCACCCCCAAACTTAAATCACACATTGTCCTCAAGGTGTGGAAAATAAATAGACGAAACAAGACAGAAACCAAATGACTAACTCCTAGAAAATAGAGGCGAAACATAAAAAGATAAAGGAGCAGCCAAAGAGGTAAAGTAGGAGAGAAAAAATAAAATAAAAATAACAGAAAAGAACATAAAACAGAAAACAGAAATTAAAAGAAAAAGAAAAGGAAAAGGAATAAAAGAAAACTAACACACCAGGACGGCAGGGACGCTTTGGTGAGTCGAACGCTGGACCAGTGGCTGCGTGTGGCGTAAAGGCGCTGACCAACCCAACCAAGTTTCCGCTTGCGTCAAAGACGAGCGACAAATACAATATAACCTGGTCTACCTGCCGCAGCTGTCATTTGAAAGATATGAGATCCCCTTCTACCAGCCCGAGCTCAGAGCCACAGGGGTCTCCTTTGTGAGACCCAGAAACCTTATTTCATCAGAAGGTTGCAATTGATTTGTTCTTCAAACAATGGGTCAGAGTTAAAAGCCAAAGAAGGAGCGAAGCTTGTCAGTTGCTGGGCATGAGTGGGTGCTAGGCCGGATGCTCGGAAAAATGGGGATTTGGGTTGGCGTATTTGAGTTGGGTCAAAGAACCCCAAATCTGCTCAGATGCCTTACCCCCAATTTTTGCAGTGAAATCGACATTATACGTGCTAGTGGCAGAGAATTCAATTCTTGGCACGTTCAGTAGCTGAAGGAGCCTGAGCTGAAAGTGTTGGATGCCTCTGGGTACATTCCTCTGTCTCAAACCTCTGCCAGCACCGTCACTAACGTCCACCGGCATCCATTGGTCCTCGATCTCATAGCACCCATGCCTTCCGATATCCATCCGAAGGTAAGAGTAAATCCAGAATTTGTCTTGGGTCCTTATCTGTAAAGATGTGTGATATGTAGAGATGTGTGTTCTTTGTCCCTGCAGGTACTCATAGTGGTGCTCGCTGTGTAAGGTCTGCGGATCCAAGAGAGATTCAAGGGAAAGGGCAATAAACACACAAGCGCAAAGGACAAAACAGCAAAAAGCCTGAGGACCCCCAATCCGTGCACCTCATAGGTATAATTTCGAATCCCTGCAAATGTTGTTGTTGGAAAGTTGGTAGACTTGCTGCTGGGTGCATGATTCCAGTGTAGACTTGCTGCTGGGTGCAGGATTCCAGCCTAGGATTTTTTTTGCTTTTGATACTTGCTGCTGATTGTTGTGTCTTTCCCAGTGTAGACTTGCTGCTGGGTGCAGGATTCCAGCCTAGGATTTTTTTGCTTTTGATGTTTGCTGCTGATTGTTGGTTGTCCTGCATTGATTCAAATATATGTTAGGAGTAGAAAGAAAATACTAGAAAAGGAAAAACAGAAACAAATATTTTTGTTTTTTTTTTTTTTGTTTTAAAAATAAAAGAAGTAAAGAGTTTAGAAAAATTGGGTTGCCTCCCAATAAGCGCTTTATTTTAAGTCTGTAGCTAGACGTTGCAGAAGCCTGGTGGTCAGATCACTGGTTCCTTCAGAGTCAGTGACTCGCGTGCAATATCGAAGGGTGACTCCAAATATGGTTTCAGCCTGTGACCGTTCACTTTGAATGTGTTGCCATTAATTTCACTTGTAATATCAACCGCCCCATGAGGATAAACCTTAGTAACCAAATATGGGCCATTCCAACGAGACTTTAACTTCCCTGGAAACAACTTCAACCTTGAACTGAATAACAAAACTTTTTGCCCTGGATGAAAATTCTTTCTGAGAATCTGATTGTCATGAAATGCCTTGGTTTTTTCTTTGTAAATGCGCGAGCTCTCATAAGCATCATTACGAATTTCCTCAAGCTCATTAATCTGCAATTTACGTTTTTCTCCAGCAGAATCATAAGAAAAATTCAACTCTTTAATAGCCCAAAATGCCTTATGCTCTAGCTCCATAGGTAAATGACAAGCCTTACCATAAACCAGCCGAAATGGGGACATCCCAATTGGGCCTTTAAATGCTGTTCTGTACGCCCAGAGAGCATCACTCAATTTCAAACCCCAGTCTTTTCGAGTCGAGCTAACTGTTTTTTCAAGAATTCGCTTGATTTCTCTATTTGAAACTTCAACCTGTCCTGATGTTTGTGGATGATAAGGAGTAGCAACACGATGGGTGATCCCATACTTAGCTAGCAACGTAGCAAACGATCTATTAACAAAGTGCTTACCCCCATCACTTAGAATGACACGCGGTGTTCCAAATCGTGGAAAAATTACCCCCTGGAGGAATTTCAGAACAACTGATCCTTGATTGGTTGGTGCTGCAATTGCCTCGACCCATTTAGAGACATATTCAACAGCCACCAAAATATACTGATTGCCATGGGACATTGGGAATGGTCCCATGAAATCAATACCCCAAACATCAAATAATTCAACGACTAATATACTTTGTTGTGGCATTTCGTTTCTTTTGGACTGATTACCCACCCTTTGACAACGATCACAAGATCTACACCAACTATTAGCATCCCTGAAGAGAGTAGGCCAAAACAATCCACTCTGCAAAATTTTAGCTGCTGTCCGTTTAGGGCCAAAATGTCCCCCACAAGCATACTGATGTGCAAACTTTAAAACACTTTCATGCTCTTCTTCTGGAATACACCTGCGAATAACTTGGTCGGAACAATATTTGTATAAATATGGTTCATCCCAAAAATAATACTTTGCTTCTGCCAAAAATTTCTTTTTCTGCTGGAAAGTAAAATCTGGATGAAGTACCCCTCTAGCCAAATAATTAACTAAATCAGCAAACCATGGTGAAATGATATGGGCAGCAAACAGCTGTTCATCCGGAAAACTTTCATTTAAAGGCAGCAAGTCAGCTTCAGCAGAAATTGGCACAATCAACCTGGACAAATGATCAGCCACAACATTTTCACTACCCTTCTTATCCCTGATTTCTAAGTCAAACTCTTGCAGTAAAAGAATCCAACGAATTAATCGAGGCTTAGCGTCTTTCTTCGACAACAAATACTTCAAAGCTGCATGATCTGTGTAAACAATCACCTTAGCCCCAACTAAGTAAGACCGAAATTTTTCTAATGCAAAAACAACTGCCAACAATTCCTTCTCTGTGGTCGCATAGTTTAGCTGTGCGTCATTGAGAGTTCGACTAGCATAATGAATGACTTGGGGAAGCTTATCTTTCCGCTGTCCAAGAACCGCTCCTACTGCGTAATCTGAAGCATCACACATCAATTCGAAAGGTAAACTCCAATTAGGTGCTGCAATAATGGGTGCTGTAGTGAGGAGTGTCTTTAACTTGTTGAAAGCCTCCAAACAAGCATCATCAAAGACAAAAGGAGCATCCTTAGCCAACAAATTACACAATGGTCGGCTAATCTTGGAGAAATCCTTGATAAACCGTCTGTAAAACCCAGCATGACCAAGAAAAGATCGAACACTTTTAACAGCTGTCGGTGGTGGCAGCTTTGCAATTACATCAATTTTGGCCTTATCAACCTCAATACCCCTGTTAGAAATCAAGTGGCCTAGGACAATCCCCTGCTTAACCATGAAATGACACTTTTCCCAATTTAAAACAAGGTTTGTCTTAATGCATCTGTCAAGAACTAAGGATAAATTGTTCAAACATTCATCAAAAGAATCCCCAAAAACAGAAAAGTCATCCATAAACACTTCAACTACCTGTTCAACCAATCCGGAAAATATGCTCATCATGCATCGTTGAAACGTTGCAGGAGCATTGCACAAACCAAAGGGCATTCTTCGATATGCAAAAGTCCCAAAAGGACATGTAAAGGTTGTCTTCTCTTGATCTTCAGGTGCAACTGGAATCTGGTTGTACCCTGAATATCCATCCAAGAAACAATAGAACGCACGACCAGCCAACCTTTCCAACATTTGATCAGTGAAAGGCAATGGAAAATGATCCTTTCTAGTGCCCGTATTGATCTTTCTGTAATCAACACACATACGCCACCCAGTAGTCAAACGTGTAGGCACAAGTTCATTATTGTCATTCTTCACAACTGTAATTCCAGAACGCTTGGGCACCACTTGAGTTGCACTAACCCACTTACTATCTGAAATGGGGATAGATCATCCCAGCATCTAGAAGCTTCATAACCTCAGTACGAACAACTTCTTTCATAATTGGATTCAAACGACGTTGAGCATCAATGGTGGGCTTTACTCCATCTTCCATCAGAATTCGGTGCATGCAAATTGTAGGGCTGATCCCTTTAATGTCTGCTATAGTCCAACCGATTGCATCTTGATAATTTCTTAAAATACGCAGCAATTTTTCTTCTTCTGTTGATGATAAGTCAGCAGCTATAATAACTGGCAGCGAAGAATTTGCACCCAGATAAGCGTATTTCAAGTGTCCTGGCAGTACTTTTAAGTCCAGTTTAGGTGGCTGTACTTTAGAGGGCTGCAATGGTTTTTTTTCGGTTCCCCTAAACTCTCAAAAACGTGCCTCCAACGGGGGTGTAGAAAAGGAACACTTTCCAAAGCTGAAACATACTCAAAAACCTCTTCATCTTCAGTGTTTCTATTCTCCAACCCATGCAACACCTTTAACAATGGATCTGATGTCAAACGGGACATAGTTTCAGCATGCATTAAGCTGTCTAACATGTCCACACGCATACAATCTTGCACATCAGTTGGCCTTTTGGTTATTTCGAATAAACTGAAAACAACGGACTGATCTTGCACTCTAAGTGTAAGTGTTCCAGCCTCAACATCAATTAAGGTTCGAGCAGTAGCCATGAATGGACGCCCCAAAATAATCGGTGTTTGCATATCTTCATCCATATCCAAGACCACAAAATCTGCAGGAAGGTAGAGATTATCCACTTTAATAATGAGGTCTTCAATAATTCCCCTAGGGTAAGCAACTGAACGGTCCGCCAGTTGTAGAATAACTGATGTAGGCTTGATTTCTCCTTGTCCTAGTCTCTGAAAAACAGAAAAAGGCATTAAATTAATACTGGCACCCAAATCAATTAAAGCACGTTTAAAATTAGAATTTCCAATTGTGCATGAAATTGTAAAACTCCCTGGGTCTTGTTTCTTTGGAGGCAGTTTATGTAATAAAACTGCGCTGCACTGTTCTGTAAGAATAACTTTTTCAAAATCCACGAGCTTCTTTTTCTTTGTGCAAACATCCTTTAAAAACTTGGCATAAGATGGAATGTTCTTAATTGCATCAATCAATGGGAGATTGATCTGAACTTTGGCCAACGTCTTCATAAAATCTGTCAACTGTTGATTTTTAACTTTGGGCTTCAACCTTTCGGGATAAGGCATTGGAGGCACATAAACACGTTCTGCAGTTTCTGCAGCAATTTTTGCACTGTTTTCAGATCTGCCCATAGACTCTGTAGAATCTGTAACAATATCAGATTCTGCAAAATTTCCTGAATCTGTTTGTGGCTGTGATGCTGCCTGCGAATTTCCAACACAAATTTCACCTCTATTGTCATAACTTTTACCCGAACGTAGAACTCGAACTGCCTTACAATCTGCGCCTCCCCTTGGATTATGTTCCGTTTGGCTAGGAAATGTACCTGGTGCTCTTTCTGAAACTTGGAATGCAATCTGCCCCATTTGTTTTTCTATGTTTTTCACTGTTGCCTGCAGATTTTGGAATTCTTGACTGGTGGCATTTGCTAATTTTTCAATTGCAACCTCCCAAGCAGCCTTAGGCGCAGCAGTTTGCTGTACCTGTTGTTGAAATTGTGGCCTTGCAGGCTGATCTCTGTCCCACTTAAAATTAGGATGATCTCTCCAACCCGGGTTGTAAACATTTGAATACGGGTCATATCGTGGACGCTGAAAATTATTAAATGCATTAACTTGTTCCGCTGCAAATTCCGGATAAGCATCTTTATGCGGACAGCTCAAAAAATCATGGGTTGTCACATTGCAAATGCTACAGGCAGCTGGTAAAGGTTGCTGTACAGCAACCTGTGAACCTGGAATTCTTTGTAATAACATGTCAAATTTTGCATCAAATCTTTCAAGCTTTTTCTCCATTTTTTCAATTTGTGCCGACATATATGGAGAACCATTAGATATCTCAAAAACAGACCTTGATTGTGGCTGCTCAACTGCCCATTGCTGTGTATCTGCTGCCATTTTTTCAAATAATAAACAAGCCTCTTGTGCATTTTTATCCTTGTATGATCCTCCGCATGAAGCGTTGACAAGAGTTTTTGTTGTCATATTTAACCCTCTGAAAAATATATGCACTTGATCCGTACTGCTAATACTAGAATGTGGACATTTTCTATTCAACTCTTTAAACCGTTCCCACGCCTCATGAAACTCTTCATTTGGTTTTTGGGCAAAAGATAAAATTTGAGTTCTCATGTCGAGAGTCTTTGAAGCTGGATAATATTTGTTTAAGAATTTTTCACTGAGTTGGTTCCAAGTGCTAATGCTTCCAGATGGAAGTGTGAGGAGCCATCTCCTTGCTTGATCTTTCAATGTGTAAGGAAATAGACGAAGCTTAATAGATTCAGCTGAGAATCCTTTCACCAAAATATTCTTGCATCCCATTAAAAATTCTGCAATGTGCATGTTAGGATCATCGGTTGATAACCCATGAAATGTAGGTAGAATACTCAACATGTGATGCTTGATTTCGAATGTAGACCCTTCTTCCACTGCTGGATATGTAATGCAACCTGGTATGTTAGTGGCATGAGCTGTTAAAGAATTACCCAAAGGATCACCAGCCTCTGGAATAACAAAAGCCATTGTTTCTGTACTGTGCAGGTCCTCAGAATATAAAGACTGCAGAAAAGTCCCTTGCAGTGAAGGAACCCGCAGCAAATTTTGCTCCCTGTGTCTCCTCCTTAAAGATTGCTCAGGTTCTGGATCAAACGGAAACAATTGCTGAACTGCTGAACGTGTGCTGACCATGCACAGATTGTAATCTGCACTGCTTTGCTGTGATCTGCAAAAATAAATAAAAACAAAAATTATTTCTTTTTTTTTTTTTTTTTGGTATGTATGTACAGCAATAATTAATGCAGAATCTGATTTGAACGAATTATTTTAAATAATCCCCGGCAACGGCGCCAATTTCTTGATAGGCTTTTTAGTACCTGCGCAAACAGGGTTAAAACTCCTACAAAACTTGCAAGAATGACAAGGTTATTGTAGTATAAATGATTCAAGCAAGGTCGTTCTCCGCAGGGATTATTAAATAACTCGTAGCAACCAAATTCTAATTAATTATTGCAAAAGAGAAAGTTGAGATGTTTGATTTGAAGACCTTAAATTAAAAAGAATTTAACTAATAAAAATAACGCAATATGCAAAATTAAAGCTAAGAGCAAGAGAAAAAGTTGTGTTTTTAGAAATCAGATTAAGAAAGCACTAGGGATCCGCCGTCACCTTAACAATTCTATATAGTTCCCCCAATTACTTATAATCTATACATGCATATTTCGAAGGTTAGGTATTCCTAATATATGCCTACTTGGACCCCCAACATAGAGCGTATATCATACATGCAATCCGTCTGTGGTATTCAGATCGAATCTAAACATACATGACTCATTAAGTTCTGTGAAACCTTTTGAAAAACCATGCAACCCTTAAGACGTGGTATTCATCCTAAGTGAACTTGCACATATTAATCACAAGAAGCCTTCGTCAATTTCAGGGACCGACCTCCGACCAAAACTGCATCAAATTACTTTTCTAAACATCCTAATGGTGATCAAGCATCAAGACACTTAGATAGTTTAACCCAGTGATGAATAATTCGAAAACCTGCATGCATATAATCATAAGCAAATTGGACAGAAACTACATATTCTTGCTAAGGCTCGTGGCCTCACCCTAGCAAAAGAGAGTTAGTTACGCATGTTCACAATTGAAATCCAAGAAAATATCATTAAGAAGAATAAGAATGCAAACACCTGAAAGTCGCGAAAATCCAAAACCCTAGCAATTGCTCCAAAAGCCAAAAAGAAGTAAAAAGGGAGTCCTCTAAATTGCTGTGAAAAGGAGCTTAAATACCTCCTAAAACCTAGCTGCCCAATCCCCACAAGGAAACTAAGTTAAAATAAAATAAGACTAGGAAATAAAGTCCAAATTGGATTAGGAGAATCTGCCAATAATCTGGTCAGCCACGTTTTGGTCTCAAATCTCCTCCAAATCTGGCCCAAGATAGCTCGTTTTAAAGATAAAAATATTCCAAACACTTCTCCAGAAGGCCATGAACCCATCCGAGGTCATCTTGGGCTCCAAAAACGCAATACAAGCCCAAAACGTCACTATTCCAGCACAGTGCACTGCTCCTTCATTTATTCACCAGGAAATCATCGCTTGGTGGAAAAGTCTGATATTTTGATACGATCAAGCTAAGTGGCTCACGAACGTCCTCCAACTGGAATTACTCCAAAATTCGTCCATTTGATTATGTTTTGCTCCAGAGGAAGTCGAAAGTCCTATATTGGAAATATAATTCAAAGTATCAAAATTCTTCCAAAATATTAACCAAAATATACTAAGAATGAGGCTAAATATATAATATAAAATCGACTCATCAGTTATGTTGCGCGAAATCAGAAAATTTTAGGGTTCAGGGTTACAAGTATAAAAATAAGAGCCAAATCTGAAAATTTTAGGTCCCGCGAATATTTTAAGAAAGCGCGCTTTTTAAAACATCGACCGAAAAAACAAGCGTCGTTAAAATTTAACATTAAACATGACGCTTATTACATTAAGGACGTCGTGGTAAAACTCTGTGCCACGTAAAATCAAAAAAGGCGTTAAAACTATGAAAAACCACGGTGGATTAAGTAACTAACGACGTTGTAAATAATAATAAACGACTAAAAGGTAAACAAAACGTCGTTTAAAAAAGAAACCACGTCGGATTTTTCACCATACGACGTAAACTCAATATTCCACGACTCAATCCCCGTCGTTAAAAGTAATACCCTAAACTTTAAAACCATAAATTATATATTTGTAAAATTTAATTTTATAAAATTGTTTATGGTTTTACATCCTAATAAATAACAAGCATAAACCCTAAACCCCAAAAATTATACTTTAACCATAAACCCTAATAAATAACAACCCTAAACCCCAAACCCTAAACCCTAAACCATCAAACTATATAAGTGATGCTATGACACATAACAACAATTTTATTTTGGTTGGTCATTTTAAACTTTTATTACACAAACTGCATTTTTTTGGGGTTTAGGGGGAAGAAAATATATCAATGACTTCATAGGAGTTGAAGTTGAATTTTTTGAATTTATTTTAAATTTATTTTTAAAATTTTGAATTAAAAATAATAAAATATTCTTATATCAACAACAGTGACGTTGTAAATAATAATAAACGACTCACATGTAAAAAGGACGTCGTTTAAAAGAGAAACCATGGCGGATGTTTCACTATCTGACGTAAAATAGATATTCCACGACCTAATCACCGTCGTTAAAAGGTATTAACCTAAACCCTAATGAACGACTTACTTGTTCAAAAGGACGTCGTTTAAAAACGAAACCATGGCGAAATTTTCATCAAAACGACGTCCCATGTACGTCCCATCTTGTCTAAATATCATTTTACGTCGGTTTTTTACATAATTATGTCGTTGGAAAGTTATTACACGTCGGTTACGCAATTTGTTTTTTCTTTTATAATATGAAAACCTCAGCAAATTGTCAGGGAAAAAAAGGATGTATATTATAGACAAAATTTGTACATTATATATTATAGACAAAATTAGTACATAAAAAATTATCAAGTGTTCCAAAAATCCTCTAATCCATATGAAGGCAAACAAACTCTGCCCATTCTTTCCTGACTTCATCAATGGCTGCTTGGGGGTATGGCGCTTGATCTTTTCCTTTGGCAAACTGCAATCCATAAACAATGATTATTAAGCTTTACAAAATAAAAAGAAATTCAGACACAGACAACGTTTTTTTTCATAACCGACGTAGTCTATCGATTCAACGACGGTAATTTTAAATGACCGTCGTTGATAATACAAAAAACCACATAAAATGTTTCTGAAAATTTTATTCTTACCTTCTTCTCAAACTCCAAGGAAGGATCCATGATGATGTCCCTCATGAAGCGCATCACATAATACCCGCATTCGACACTGCTGGGTTGCTTTGGTGTGCCTGGCAGAGTTTTCCAAATAGGTGCTTTACGGCCTGGTCTGCCTATGTGGGAATTATAAATTTTTAAAGCACTGTTCACGATGTTTTTGCCCTCCTCATCAACCACACGATTTCCAGGCAGAGGATCCAGAAAATAGACGGTTTCCCTCTTTGCCCTCACAATCAGCAAGACCCAATGACGGCTGCACAAAAATAAAATAAAAAACGACGGTTATTTATAAAAACCGACGTATTATATAGTTTCACACGACGTAATAACTTAATCATCGACGTCATTATAAATTTATCACGACGAGAATTAACTAACAACGTGGTTAGTTGTTTCAAACGACTCAATAAATAAATAACCGACGTGGTTAGATGTTTCAAACGACACAGAATTAGTTAAACAGTTTTATAAGTGAAAATCATACAAACAAAATCCTTTTAAGGAGACTAACCCTGGATTGTAAGGCATCATGAAAATCTGTTCACCATCTGTTTTCTGAAGTCGACTGGCTACAATTCGTGATCTGTCAGTTAGTGACCCAGCGTTGGCACTAACTTGAGCAGGGTCGATAAAGCCAACCATGCTGCACATATTTGCTTCTCTCAAAAGATCATATAAGCACCTAAATATATAAAACAAACGACGGTTATTTATACACAAACGACGTATTATACAATTTAACACGACGAACTGAAATAGAAACAGACGTGATAACTAATTTATCACGACGGTAAAAAAGAACGACGTGGTTAGTGGTTTAAAACGACTCAATAATTAAACAACCGACGTCTTATGATATAATGTTTGATATTTGATTAGGACAAACCTCATATATACTGCAACCACAGTAGCCCCAATTTCTTCCATGCCTGAAAACTGTGTAATATCTTCATGCAAGACGAAGGTACTTCGATCTGCACCAAACACCTCCTTCTCAATGTTGAAGGTCATGATCTTCCCCTGTGGCTTTAGTGTAGTTTCCACATAACCACAAAGGGATTGTAAGGAAGATGGCACCTCCACATTCGAATAATCAACTACTTCATTACCCTGTTTAAAGAAATAAAGCAAAATAAAATGACGTGGTAATTCATTAAAAACGACGGTTTAAATTAAAAAACGTCGTCTTATTATAATTTAAACGACGGTAATTAAATACCGTCGTTTTATATTATTTATTACGTCGTAGAAAATAAATTCCGACGTCTAATGTGAAAACAAACGACGGTTTAAAGAAAAATATCGACGTCTGAAATGTGAAAAACAAATTAAAAAGGCAAAGTTATGAGAATATACCTCCTCGTCATGCTCTTCATCTTGTTTTTCTTCTTTCTTCTCTTCAACATTTGTATCTTCCTCTTTGCCTTCATCTTTATTCTCTTTTTTTTCTTCCTTCTTCCCTTCATCTTTTTTTTCTCCCATCTTCTGTTCATCTTTATTTTCTTCTTTCTTCTCTTCATCTTGATTATCTAAAGCCCCAGCTTTCTGTTTTAAATAATAAAGAAATATATATATAAGACAGATTGTACAGAGTAAAAAAATAAAACCAAAACGTCGTGGTAAGGCATAACATAAGACGGTATGTAAGAATTATGGACGTCTTAAAATTATTAAACGATGGTAAATAATAAAAGTCGTGGTAATTTTATATTACGTCGTTAAGGAAAAAAACCGTCGTCTAAAAGCCAAAAAGTACGACGTCTAATGGCGTGTAAAACAAGTAAACTAAATACGACGTGGTATTTAAATAAACACAACGGGATATTTAT